TTTTAGTCCTAAAGGGTGATTTTGGCAGCTCATCATAGCATATACCATAGGAAACCCAACTGCACTGGGTAGACCCTGCTACACAGGGTCCCCATCTGTGCCGGGGGGCCCAATCTGAAAGACAGAATGCAGCAGTGAAATATATTAGGTTCATCCTAAGCAGATAGCAACTAGGAACTGTTTTTGGTCATCAGTGTCCTCTAAGGGGAAGAGATACAAGGGTCAGGATCTTTTTAAAAGAAGGCAAGGCAGGGGCTCCATTCCTAGATAAACTCTGGGGAGACCAGGCAAGTTATAGAATAAGGAATCAAGGCAAAAACCAGCACCGATATGGTATGGGGGAATCAGGTATAATCCAAGGCGCTACAGGCACACTCCTACCCTCCCAATATTGTTGGGCCCAGTGTAGATAAACAGAGGGCTTCACCAGAGTCATAACCAATTATAAAATCTCAGAACTAGGGTGAGTACTTTATTCCAATTCTAAGGAAGAGAGGCTGGCTGTTTCTACTTCAACTTTATAACTGGAAGGGTGAGGAACTTGCAGGCAGGATTCCTGAGTAGATAGAGGTTCCAGAAATGATGAAACTAAGGCCACCTTTGTCTTCCGATCCAAGTATTTGTTTCAACATCTGTGTGAAAGGCGCTTGGGCAAGGTGGGTTTGGGCCATATTCCAGGTGTCACCTATGCTACATTATTCATTGAGAAATCAAAGTTTAAAACTGTACAAAGGACTGTGAAAATGTAATAAATGTAAGCAGCTACATGATTTCACAGCCATATTCTTCCTCAGTCATCTTACTTTTCAAGAGGCAGAGTTCAAACTCACATTTGCCCACTAATCATAGCTCTTTACCACCCATCTGAGATCCACCGTTTGGAAGGATAATTCTACTTGTCTGAGACAGAAAAGGCTGTTTTTCCTTTATTTTTCTTTGCTTTATGCATAGCTTTCATGCCTCTTTTGGCCCTGAACAGCAGAGTTGCTGAACTGTCCTTGCCTTTGGCCTTTTGTCCCCAGTTCTCCTTGGTTTCTGCTTTATATCTAATGATATTGACTAGACCTTCCCACAAGAGTCCCTGAAGTTCACAAAAGTCTTGGAATACATGTAGGCCTAACTGCAAAAAGGGAAGGAAGAAAAGGAGGAAGGAGGGAGGGGAGAAGGAAACTCAATACATCAAAATAAAACTTTTTCTCTTTTCCATTTTTCTCATAGTACAGAGCATTAAGTTGATTATATTTTTTCATTCAAGTAACATTATCATTGGTCCATTCAAAGTCCCTCACTGTTTTCAGTTATTTATCTTATCCCCTCTACTTCCTTTCAACCATCCTAATGTATGTTTATACGTTTTCTTTTTAAATGTCTTATGTTTGATGTGTATGTATTGTAATTTTGCAATATTTATACACACACACACACACACACACACACACACTCTGAGTGGCCAGATTATTATGATCTCTGAACACATAATAATCTGGCCACTCAGTATGTATATATATTAGAGGCCCGGTGCATGAATTGTATGGATCTTAGAATCATGCTTTAGACTTGCTCCTCACTGCTGACCAATTAGTTAGGTGTATACTGTCCACATTTTATCATTCCCTCACTCAGCAGAGGATACTCAGGCTGCCTCCAACCCAACCGACATCAACAATGCTATGAAGGCTTGTACAGTTGCCCTTTAATAGATAGAATTGTTCTGGGATGTACGTGGGTGTAGAATATGGCAGGGTAATTGAGACAATCACATTGCTAAAAGTTTCTGGATCTGTGGAAAGAATAATAGAAGCATCCATCAAAGAATAGAGCACCTTAATGGAAGTGCATTCAAATGGTCATGAATAAATTATATGCCACGTGAACAAACATATTTAAATACAGGAGACATACACTTGAATGCTAAGGAACTGCTGCCAATTGAAGATACAATGAAAATAAAGACATAACATCTCTAAAATAAAAATATAAATCAGTGGAGGAAGAAAAGAAAAAAAACAGTTTTGGATTCGCAGAAACACATTCTCCAAATGGGTTTAAGAGAATACATCTGTTGTGAAAAGCTCAGTGCCCCGACCTCACTCAATCTCTCTCCCCATTCTCTGGCCCCCAGGCCTGTATCTTGCCCCAGCCACAACTACAAAGCTACCTGCTGGTGGCTCTTTTATGGTGCGAACTCAATAACTCTGCCTTTCCTGCTCTGTGGCATCAACATCAACTTCAAAAATTTCATCTTGCACCAGGGATTTTCCGTAGACTTTGGGGACAGCCAGTGCATGATCTACTGCTTCTTTCACTTCTGACTGACTTTTGTTCCTCATCCCTCATTCCTATATCAATCAAAAGCTCAAACAACCCCCCTGGTCAAATCTGAGCCAAACTGCTCCTCTGAGAGCCACACCTTTCGCCCTTATGGAGGAGGAGGCTGCCTGGGGGCTTCATTTGCATATAAATGGCTCTGAAGTGTTCAGTGGAAGCTTTTATGTAAACACTCTTCAAAATATGTTCTGCACTGCATTATCCCCTGCAATAAAGACTCTGAAATCAGAATTTGGCTGTCAGTTTTATTGATGTTGCATGGGGTACAGTAGAATACAGCTTTCTCTTCTGGAAATTTATTGGCTTGGCAGTGCAGAGAGCAATAAAACTGTGTTTTTAATCAGTAAGCCAACCGGACATGATTCCAGAAGAAATATAGGAAGCAAACATGCCATCGTAAGAAGATTTCTCCCCCACTGTCCCTGTTCCTCTTGGATGCCCTGTTAAATAAGTTTGGGTAGTGAATGGTGTACTTGGGGAGACTGTCTTCAGGAATAGATTCAGAGGACCGAGTTTGGATTACTTCCTCAAGGTTGTACCATCTCTAAGAGAATCTTGAATGAAAGCATTTTTCTGCAATGAAATTTCTTTGCATTAGCCCCAGAGAGGAACTGTTGGTAAGATGCTTTGCAGGAGGAAATATATAGTGTGACATGCCTCCTCTCAAGGAAAGCAAGGTTACAAAGCCTGTCCTACCACTATGCTCACTGAGAGAGAGTGCATTACCTGGGTAGATGTCCAAAGGAAATTAAATCACTATCTCGAAGTACTACTATCTGCACTCTCATGTTCACTGCATCATTTATAACAGCCAAGATAAGGAAACAACTTAAATGTCCTTTGACAGGTGAATGGATAGAAAATATAACTATGTGATATATAGACACACAGACACACACACAAATGGAATAGTTTTCATCATAAAAAAAGAAAGAAAAGCTACCTTTGAGACAGTATGGAATGAAACTGGAGGGCATTATGCTAAGTGAAATAAGCTGGACAGAGAAAGACAAATATTGCGTGGTATCACTTATATGTAGACTCTAAAAATAAATTGTTAAAACTACTTCATAGAAACAGGGAATAGAATGATTGCCATGGCCTAAGAGAAGAAAATCTAGAGGCCAAAGGTTACAAACTATCAGTTATAAATTCTAAGGATCTAATGCACAGCATGGTGACTATAGTTAATAATACTGTATTGCATACTTGAAAGTTGCTGTGAGTATATCTTAAGTGTTCTCACCACAATAAAAGTAAACTATCCACAATGTATGTGTATATCAAATCATCATGTTGAACACCTTAAATATATATAAGTATGTTTGTCAATTATTCCTCAGTAAAGTTGGGGAGGGGGGTGAAGAAACAAAAAGAGAGTGGATTGGGAATCACATACTTTGGCCCAGTATTAACAGTGAGAAGAACATTTGAACTCAATCTTCTTAGTCCTATTACCTTGTTCAAATTACTTAATCTCTTTGTGATCCAGTTTCTTCTGCTATTAAAGGAGAATATCTACTCATTCCATTGTTGAGTAGATACAACAAGGTTAGAGGTTGATGTGCATCACTCACACAGCACCTTACACCAGCAGCAAGTCTCTCTGGAACTGTAAGACATTTCACTAACTCAAATCTGCTCATGACAGAGCTGTTCTTTCCCATCACTAAGGCAGTCTCTGATGCATAGATGTTGAAAAGCAAAGGCAGCACCTCCCACCTCTGTTCTCACTGTCATGATATTCCTGTCCCACCTGAAATGTCCTGCTCCATTCCCCTTCTCTCTGCCAGTCCTTGTGCTAAAACTTTGAATCGCTGTAGATGCTTGATAAATGTTGGTTGAACATTCATCCCTGTGTGGCAGATGCTTTCTTCCGAGTTATCTTAACTCCAAGTTCCTTTGTCACTTGTACATCATCCTGTTCTAGTTTTTGCTGTTGCTGAGTAATCATTCTATTCTCAACTCTTATGTAATGCATAATTTTTATCTCAATTCAAGAACACTTAGATTGTTCCACTGGGTATAAGTGAGTGCCTGAAGGAAATGTGCTATATAGATGTTCCCCAAAAATGGCATATGATGCCCATATGATTTAACCATATTAGCAAGTGCTCTTGGGATAATAGGCTGCCTGGAGAAGATGGGACATGTTTTTAATAGATCTTCCCTTCTCCTTTCTGCCTGATTCTCAGTTGTATTTTTACCATTTGTTTCTCTACTCTACCCAAGAAAGCTTCTTTTCCACCCTATAGGACTACTTTATGTATTAACTATTTACTTGATGCAAAGTCCTGTCCTTCACAATCTTGATTAAATATCATAATAACCCTGTGACATGGAAATTATTATTTTAGTTTATAGATGAAGAAACTGAAACAGAGGGCTTAAATAATATAATCAGGGTCACATAGCCAGGTAGTGAGAGAGTGAGGATTGGAACTTGGTGTATATGATCCCAAAGTTCAGATCTTAACCAAAAAATTACACACTGTTTGACATAAACCAGCAATAATTCATGACACATCTCTTTATGGATATAACTTAGAATTCTCAACCTAAATTCAGTTGTTGAGAGCTCTGTAGTCACACACACACACATTTTATTCATGAACTTAAAAGGCATCCAATCTTAAAGTTTAAACTCTTGGCTTTCCTTTTTTCTTTTCTAGATCACTCACCTATCTCCGTATCAAAGTAATTCCATCTCAAGCTTTCAAAGGACTTAATGAGGTCATAAAAATGTAAGTAAAAAACTGCATATCAGAAGACATTCATAATTGGAATAATAAATTTTTCCAAGAGGAAGCATAGTTGAAAGGGGATCATTTTTCTAGGAGAGAAACTATATTTTGGAAAACCTAGTACTTTTATTAACACAAATAATATCTAGGAACCTTTGAAGAGAGATATGATTTTCAAGAGTCATTAAAATCTAGATAATTAACCTTGCTTCAATGAACTGAATGTATTTTGATAAGTGATAATAAACTTCTCAAGTAGAAAAGATATATTCCAATCATAAAAATTTTCCTCATGTCACATTTTTAGATACCATCACATATAAAAAAAATGTGTTGGAAGTTTACTGTGCATGAGAAGATAATCTTCGTATCTAAAATATAAGCAATGACAAAAACACAATACTTATAGCCTTATTGATCAGAGGTATTTATCAAAGTGTAGAGCAGCCTGAAAAGGCAGTGTGATCTCACGTTTGTGTCAAATGTAACTTTAATCCTTTGCCCTGGCTCTCAGCTTCTATGGCCTAAGACTCCATACATGGAAAGAGAACTTGCTCAATATTCCAGGATTCCAGTATCCTCCTTAATGTTAGTCTGAGTCAAAAGACCTAAGGGGCCTTTTAGTTCCCAGAGAACATCTCTGATTTTTAACAATCTGCTGGGCTTTCAGAGCAATTCCAGCTCCTTGAGAAACTTCTGACTCTCTTAACAATATTAACAAGCAATGAGTATAGTAAAAGTAACCTTAAGAATTAGTGCATATTATGACAAATTCGCTGCAGGTTACAGAAATGTCAGTTTGCTTGAACCTAATTTTTCTCTTCTCTCAAGTTTACATGGTGAGTTTTTGAAATTTTTTAATGCATTAAGACTTCCTGGTTTAAAAAAAAAAAAAAAAAAAAAAAAAAAAAAAAGGCAGCCACAGTTAAATAAGCAAAACATTAGGTAGGAATGAGATGAATCAGCCCAGGAATGATCCATTACTGTGTTGTTCATAAAAGACATTAACTGCCTTATGCTCAGCCTTTCTGTGGGCTAAAGCTCTCATCAAATCTGAAGCCTTCAATGAATGTTAACCTTAAAAAACACACAAATGTACAATTTGTGAATTTGAGACATTTTTCTTAGCTGGCAGTAAATGGTAGCTTATGTTGGGATTTTAGAATAGCATTGACATTACCTACATGCTTAGAGGTGGTATATGGCAAAGCTGTTTCCTTTACTTTTGTGTCTTCTAAAAAAAATCAACTCATTCATTAATCTATCCATTCATTCATTCACCAGGGTTCAGAAGTGAATGGGACATACTCTCTGTCCTCAATTTGCTAACAGAGAAAAACAGTCAAAGAAATAGACAGTCACAACCGGAAAGATACTATATGCATTTGCCTCAGGACAGGATTTGGGGAAAAGGGAAAGAGTTATGAAACAATAAATTCAACCCAAATGAAAACCTCACTAAAACGATGGAGTTGGGAACCTAGATAGCCTGATCCTGATCCTAAAACTGTCCTATAAACAGGAGGTGCCTCTGGTACAGCCACTCTGGGAAAAAGCATGGAGAATACTCAAAAAATTAAAAATGGAACTTCCTTATGACCCAATGATTCCACTTTTGGGTATATATCCTATATGCACCCCTCTTTTCATTGTAGCATTATTTACAATGACAAAGGTATGGAAGTAATCCAAGTGCCCACCAATAGATGGATTAAAAAAAAAAAAAAAAAAAAAAAAGCTATGGTACATTTACACAATGGAATGTTACTTGGTCATAAAAAAGAATGAAATCTTATCACTTGCCAAAGCCTGGATGGACCTGAATGGTTTTGTGCTACATAAAATAAATCAGCCAGAGAAAGACAATACCATATGATTTCACTTATATGTGGAACCTAATAACAAAATAAATGAACAAACAACATTGAAACAAACTCATAGATACATAGACTTATAGTTGCTAAAGAAGAGGAAGTTCAGGGACTGGCTGGAAAAAAGTGAAGGGATTAAGAAATACAAATTGGTAGTTACAAAACAGTCATAGGAATGTAAACTACAGCAAAGGGAATATAATCAATAATATTGTAATAACTATGTATGGTGCCAGGTCAGGCTGAAAACTTTGTAAAGTATGTGATTACTATGCTATATAACTGAAACTAATACAAAATAATATTGAGAGTGAGTTAATTGAAAAAATATTTAAAATAAATGATACAAGCATAAATAAATAAAATAAATGGAAAAAAAACAATAGGCGCCTCTCCTCTCAGAAACTCAATTTGCTGTAAAACAAAGGAATCTGACTAGATTTTCTTAAAGGGCCTGTCAACTTCTAATAATCTATGATGCAATCCTATATAATAAAAGACTAATATGCAAATAGACCGAACAACCAATCACTATGACATGCGCTGACCACCAGGAGGTGTGCATAGGACATGATGGGCATGGGAAGCAGGTGGCAGAGAGCAGAACATGGCTGGCATCAGCCACAGTGGGATGGTGGAGCAAGAGAGCGGGAGTGCCAGACCAAAGTGGGATGCCAGCTGCTGTCATTGGGGCAAGCCTCTGGTGGTTAGTCAAAATTCTTTGCTCCTGCATGCTGTAGTCCCACCATGTGCTCACACCTGCTGGCCCCAATTGCCCCTGAGGGCTTCTCTACCTCCCCCTGCTCCTGAGGGGCAATCAGGGCAGCAGCTGCCGCTCACACCCACTGACAGTGCTAGCCCCAATCGCTCTGTGCCATCAGCATCAGTGGGTGTGAGCGGGGCTGGCTTAAAGGCAGTGGGAGTGGGGCTATCGGCAGACAGGGGACTGGGGCCCACAGTGGGAGGGAACAGGTGGGCACACGAACGATGGGTCAAGATTTGCCCCTATGCCCACTGCAGCCTCACAGCCCACAGTTCCTTTCAAGGTGCATAAATTTGTGCACTGGGCTTCTAGTGTCATAATAAACAAGAAAAAAAATCCTGTTGTAAATAAACAGGGGTTACTGAAATTTGCATTTCAACAGCACCTGGGTTATAGATACCCATAGGGCTCCTAAAGGGAGCTGTTAGCACTTTATGATGTGAGGACAGCTAAAGGTGCCACTGTTCTTTTTTAAAAGGACACCCCAGTTGTTGGGCCACATGAAACAGCTGCCTATGATGCAGACAGTCATTTATTTCATGTTTCTTCTTTTTTTTCCTCTCTCCCTAGTGAAATTTCTCAGAGTGATTCCCTGGAAAAGATAGAAGCTAAGGCCTTTGACAACCTCCTCAATTTGTCTGAAATGTAAGCATCAGCTAACAGATCATTTATTGCTGTACACTATTACTCTCACTGGCTGGAGCCCACTCAGTTTTTGTATTCAAACATCCACTGCTAGAAAGCCAAGAGGAAAAGACTACAGCAATTACTAGGTCTGGGCAGGCACTAATTTCGCTCACTGCAGTGTCCTGTAGGTTGCCATGGTGACAACTGCTTCTCCCTGAGAGCTGCATAAACTCTGAAACATCACAACACAAAGTTAGAAATTAAAATTGTCATTGCAGAGTCCTTCCAAGTAGCACTTACCTTATGGAAGGGAGGGTATGGAGTAGTTGGGGTGGTGGGAAAATTTGGAAAGGAGCTTAGAGCTCATGAATTAGTTCATAGGGAGCTATTTGGGCATATTCACTCCTTCAGTAAATGGTTCTTGAATACCTATCATGTACACATGTGTGTGTTGGGTTTGTTGTTATTGTGATGTCTTAAAATTGATTCTTCAAAATTATTCTTTCCAAATTATTTTTCTCTAATTAATGAAAAGAGTGGGAGAAGACTGGCTTAATTCAGTTTTCAGCTCATGAACTTTGTGTCCCAAAGCTTAACTGACTTGCCTGATGTCACACAGCAAGTTAACTAAAACTATAAATCAGGTCATGTGACTCTGAAACTGGGTCCCTTATTGCTGTCTTGTTTGGCCCAAACCTGAACATTATAAACTTCACCTGCATAGGAGTTTCTAAAGTTAAGGAAAGGGGAAATATGTTGGCAACAGTTTTTAAGTACTTATGCTTGGCACTTATTTCTTCTAGGTTGTGTCATTTAATCCCCACAACTATCTGTAAAATGGAGTAACTACCCCTTGTGTTCAGGGAAAGGAATGGAGCCTCAGGGAGGTCAGTGACTTGACCGAAGTAGTGCCTCAGACTATGGCAGGTTTGGGATTCAACCCCAGCCTGTCTCTTCAAAGCTTGTCATGTGTCAGTAAACCAGAAGACCTCCCTGTGAATGGTCCAATTAGCAATTATCTAAACAGAATAATTAATTAATAAGTATGATAAGTACCTGCCTCATGTCTAACCAAGGGCCAAATGCTGCTGGAGTACAGAGGAGGTAAAAAGAAAACAAATCTCCCCCAGGAGATGAGTGGCCAGGGGAGTGAGAATAACAATTAGGGGAAATTTGATTTCCCAAACAATTATGGGAAATCCAGAAATGAGTTTTTAAGTACTAAAGGTATATCTGGATTTGTCTGTGAGGTATAATTTCTTGGGGGGCTCATTAAAATTATAGATGACAGTCTATAGACCTAGAAATCCGCAGTTCTAACAGACTTCCCGAGGGATGCTGATTCAGCACAGTTTACATCAGAGCCACAAGAGCAGCTTCAGGTAAATAAAGCTTCTTGTGATGCAAAGCAACATTTACCAACAGAAAGAAAAATGAAATGCTCTGAAGAAAAGTTTATGGACTTTTCTCAAGGAAGGTCCTGAGATTAGGATGCTAGCTCTGCATCCCCAGAACCTAAACAATACCTGGCGCATGTAGGAGCCCAATGTTTGATGGATGGATGGAGGAAGATGGATAGATGGGTGGATGGTTTAAGGTCAAACCACAAAACATCCTTAAGAGCTAAAACTGCCTTCCATCTCACCCACATAATGCTTTGTATGGCCCATGTTTGTTTGATTCAGCTGTAAAAAGCAATTACAGCAAAATGTCACTCACCTTTAAGTAATCAAAAGGACATCAAAAATGGAAATAGGCAGCAATGGTGGGTAAATAAAATAAGGTGGAGTGAGCACTTGATCTGGAGTTAGAAAAAACTGGGTTCATCTCCAAGTTCTACTACTTCTCAGACAAATCATTCAATTTCCTGATTTCATCAACTATGGTAATACTTGTTAACATTGGTTGAAGCCTTACTATGAACCAAACTTACACATTTATTTCTTTAAACTGCCCTATGAAGAGACAGAACTGTAAGTGATATATCCAAGTCATACAATTAGTATAGCCAAGATGTAAAACCAAGCTGACCCCAGAGTCTGCCCACCTAACTAGTGCTCTGTATTTTCTTTATACAAGAGCAATTATTCTTTCATTGAGTGGTTGTTGAATGAGTTAAGAGAGCCAAATGCATTTACTGGCCTTTTACTGGGACCTGGCAGCTAAGTCTTCTTCTCAAAGAGTCCAATTCACTGGTGGGACTAGGGAGAAGGACGATTCCACCACTATGATGTATGGCTGGCTGTACTTCTACACTTTGCAAAGCCCTATCTTGACATTGTTTCTGCATATTCTATTACTACCTCTCAACCTGTGAAGTAGGAAGACTGTGTGTTATTATTTCAATATTACAGAAGGGAACACTAGCTCAGGGAAGTTAGGAGACTGGGCATCATCATGCAACAAATTATCTACAGAATAATCATAAAATCCCCAAAATCCAAGCCCCTGGACTCTGCCCTGCTATTCTATGGACTGGATGACCATCTGGATAATTGGTCAGTGCGCCTGCCAGCCCAGTATGAAGAGAACCAATCTACCTACAAGGGAGAGAAGCTAATTTGCTCCTGCCTCCTGGGAGCAGATTCTCCCATCTCCCCTTGTGTGCAGGCTACATGATAGGGCAGGAATTACTTGGCCAGGAGCCCTGGACATCAGTGCTGCCTGGGGAAAGGGGGTAGAAAGATATGGAACAGGGGTAGGGGGTAGAACAGATTCCCAGCTATGATGCACCTGCGTTGGCAGGATGTTGAGAGCAGAGCTTCCTGGAAATAGCCCCTGGCTCTCACCATGCTGCTTTCATCCCAGGGGTCTCAGGAGTTGCTCTCAAGCACTTGATTCTGTTGATGCTGTTTTCAGCCAGCATCCTTTGGTGACCATGGTTTCATGCATTCCAAACAATGCACATCTAGTAAATGGCTGCCTGTTTCCCCTTCTCTCTTTACAGACTGATCCAGAACACCAAAAATCTGGTACACATCGAGCCTGGAGCATTTCTAAATCTCCCCCGGTTAAAATACCTGTGAGGAATTTTCCTTTTTAAGCAACTGGGGAGGGGAAGATGGGCATCTGGTAAAAAGCAAAACAATTCCAAGGTTAAGAAGAATTTTTTAACCATATTCTTCAGCCTTCTGACTTAATCAGCATTTCTTGTCAGCCACTATGCTGGCACTTTCAAATACCTATAAGTGGTTCTCAATACTATCTCTGTCCCAAACACCAGAGAAGACCATCACCTCTTTGCAGGGATTTTCTAAGCTGATGGTAGGAATGGGGGCGGGGGAGTCATGACACTTGAAAGGTCATAAATCAGAATCTCTAAGGGGAGGTGGTAATGTGGAGATAGGACAGGTGAATGTGGGAAAGGCAATTCTGACTTGACCTCTATCCCTGGTTGAGATTCACTGATCTCCTTTATCTCATTTGTTCCTTCATTAATTACATGAAAATATTTTAAGTATTGCCTTCAGGTGGGCACTGTGTTATATAAACTAAATCATTATTTTGTATGTCTCATTAAGTTTGATTGGTCCACTGCGAGACTTATCAACTGAGGTCCTCGTAGCCCTACAGATTTCATTGCCTTGCCAGCAAACCCAAAATTCCTGAAATTTGATATAATCTATAAATGTATCACTGTGGATCTTCTTACATATCAATTACTTATTCACACAGAAAAAATTAAATCACTTAACACAGATGTCTTCTCTCTTTTCTTCCTGATAAATTAAATTTCAGAGGATGCAAAGTCTACAACGCCTACCACTTTTTAAAAAATGGAAGAGAGAGGAGGGCCATCCTCTCTCTGGTGTTCAATGTCATCTGGGCAGTCTTGCTCTGGGCCCCTGACAGGAGCTGCTACTGGGATAAGGGTAGCTCCTTTGGCAGCTCCAATTCTGGAGGACACCTAAAACTCAGGTGTTCTGCTTTTCCAAACCTTAAAGGACACATAAGCAACTCAGTATTAACCACTTTGGATGGGAAAACATAATAAGAATCCCAGAACCAAGTGTGATGACTGCAGCCCCTTGTCATCTAAGAATCACTGTCTTTATTAAATAGCATTTTCACCACCCCTTAAAGAAAGGGATATTCCCTCAACCCCCATACACATTGCAGTCTAAGCCCACACTGCTATCACCAGCCACAGACAGTGCAGAATTCAGTGTGATCTGAGGTAGCAGGTAAGGAAGAGAACCAGAGAGAGCCAAAACAAACCTTTTATTGTCACCAGGGTGCCAAGCAGTTCATGTCAGCTGTCCAGAGTCCACGACTGGGAACTTGAAATTCGGTTAAGGGAAATCCAGATGACTTAACTCCTCTAAAGGAATCCCTTTCTTATGTAATAAAATATCCTTCAGTTTAACCCACCACTGAAGACTCTCTGTTCTTTGAAGTTTAAGTATAAGGGAGAGGAGGAGCCTTTAATAGCTCAAATAACCAAGAGAATTTTGCGTGATTTCAGTGAGATATAAGGAAGACTTTCCTGAATCCCAGACAGCTAAATAAAAGAAAATTTGCAGTGATAAGAGATATGGATTGCTTACGGAGAGATTAATCTTTCTGAAGAGTTTAAATTAAAACCCATTCTATATACAATAGAGAACTGTGAAGAGTATGGTATAAACTAATTAGCAAGAGAAAACTGGAATGAAATGAAAAACAAACATAAATGAAAAAGTTTGGTCCCAGACCCTAGATCTCTAAATAGAAATCATTAAAGCAACCTCTCCCATAGGGTTAGGGGCTTTTAAATTCTCAGTCTTTGACTTCTGAAAGTGTGACTGGTAAAGCCAAACTCAATATTTTCAAATTTAAGGTGAAAATAGTATTTGCAAAATGCCTTTCTACTGTTTTTTATCTTTATGCCTTAATAACAGTCCCTTTTGCTCACTCTCTGCCCACATCCCCACCTTGTCCCAAATCACAGGAGCATCTGTAACACTGGCATTCAAAAGCTTCCAGATGTTACGAAGATCTTCTCCTGTGAATTTAATTTCATTCTGTGAGTACCAGGCTGATTGCTATGCATAACAGTTTCCTATTTTGCAGCTAAAATTTGGAAAGTAAATATTTCTCATTTCATTCTTCAAGGGAAATTTGTGATAACTTACACATAACCACCATACCAGGAAATGCTTTTCAAGGGATGAATAATGAATCCATAACACTGTGAGTAACTCTCAGGTTCATGTTCTTCCATACAGCCTCCTGTTGTTCTCATCTTTAGCTTAAGGTAATCTCTTTCTTGTCTTATGCCTTGCCCTCACTTGCTGGTGACATTCTTTTGGATCTAAGATGCCACACAACTTCTCTCTGTTACATGAGAGGAGTTGTGTGGCATCAAATCTGGGCCATATGTTCACATCACAACCAACCAACCCCTTCAGTTTAAAATTAATCAAATAGACCCTGAGAATTTACAGTGAACAAATCTCCAACTGATTAAAGTAGTATTCATTCATCAGTGGAATGCTTTGCAGCTGCAAGGAGATGGCCTAGAGGGGTTAAAAGAGAGCACAGAAATTTCGAGTTTCATCTGAGAAGAGTTTGGAAGGATACTCTCTGAGTAGGCAGAGTATCTTTTCTCTTCTCTCTTCAGAACTGGGGCAGATATACAACCAAACAGTCTGTCTCAGAGTCACGGGCTTCATCATTATGTTGTACCACACACTGAGAATAGGGGAGCAAGGAATCCAAGTGAGGGGCAGCATGAGCAAATCCATGACTGAGGGAGGAGTAAAATAGGATGAGGGATACTCATTGGGAGTACACATCCTGCTTAAGGGATGGGAAATAGGTTTAGATCAACATGTTTACATAAAAAGGAATGAAGGGACTTTGGATTGCAGAGGGTCTTGAATGCTGAGATAAGGGGTGCAGGCGTCTTCAAACTACGGCCCGCGGGCCACATGCGGCCCGCAGAGGAGTCTGATCCGGCCTGCCAGGTTTTTTGGGCAGTGAGCGCAGCCGAGGTGTTACAGTAGGAATTAGTAGTTCAAATAGTCCGGCCCTCCAGCTCTCTGAGGGACCGTGATCTGGCCCCCACTTTAAAAAGTTTGAGGACCCCTGGGTTAGAGGCTTAGAAGTAACTAAATAAAAGCAGTAAGAAGAAACCACTCAAGTAAATATCCTTTATTCAAAGATCATGAATACCCAAGACGCCCTTTGATTTTGTCCTAAATCTAAAAATAACCAGAAACCAACAGATACTCCTCTCAGGTAAATGTACACTGATGGGAATGGAGCAGAATAGGAATGAAAGAGCAGAAGAAACTAATAATCTATGGGATACTACAAGCTCACAAGACCAGACCTCCTTACCAAAGTCACAAACAAATCAAGGATTCCTTCTCACACATATTTCAGCATGTGTACACTACAGCTACATGGTATTTTTATTTGCGACTATTAATTTATGTTAGTAATGATTTTAAGATGAATAGTGCCTACCAGCAGGGCATATCTGCCCCACTTCTGAAGTTAATGAGGATTGTGGATCCATCTCTCCCAGAGAGTCTGTGGGGGCATTGTGCTTTCCCCCCCTCCTCACTCTCAACCCTGTGTCTGTGAGGGGAAAGTTAGTCATTTGTTTGGCACTTGTCCTCAGCTGAATGGGCCCCCTGGAAGTGGAGGATCCTGTGGAGCACCCCCTTGGAAAAGGGTATTGCTTAAAAAGAAAAGCCTGATTTTCTCAGCTATAGAGTTCAGCTCCCTAATTAGAAAATAAAGAAAATAAGCCCTCTCTCTTCATGAGTAGTTTTTGTGAATTTGCTTTTCATGGAAACCTTCCTGCCTCCCTCACCTAAATCTGTACCAACTGTGAGCTCATTTAATAAAAACAAAGCATTTCACTTGATGCTGGAGAAGCTCAGTGGGGCTAATGCTCAAGCCATGCATTATACTCTTATGTTCCTTTATGGCCCTTTGGCTTTTCATTAAATCTCCTCCAGACGCCACTTTGAAGTGCCCCCGCTAGGTAAGCAGGATTTGGCTTCACCATCTCTAAAATATTCTAGATCACTGATCATGCAAGTCTCAAAAATGTGACAACCTTAATTCATATCGGAACTCCACAAAGAGAAGGAAAGGTCACAGCAACTAATTCTCTAAGACTAATTCAGATAAAAGATGCCTGGCAAAGAATGACAACATTTCAGATTGTACCTGTGATACAGTGTGATAAGCCACAGTAGAGAGACTGCTTGGCACTGAAATTGAAAGCCTGGGTCTAGTCCTGGCTCTCTATGTAACCAGCCTTAGTCAAGTCACACCACCTCGATGTAACTCTGTCTCTGTCTTTCCAGTGGGATTATTAATACCTCCTTGTATAAGTCAGTCACACTGTATAGTCTGCACTGCACTGTCACAAATAAAAGCTAACATTCAGCAAGCCAATTGTTTAGACCACCCTTAAAACACTATCACATCATCTCATTTTAAATATTTTTATTTTGAAATTTTAAACTGGTAATTGAAGTCACTTTCTCTGTCTCCCCACTGATAAATGGAAACTCCCTATATATGAACTCCCTATATATGAACTCCCTATATACCTTACCTAGATTCATTTACTATTTCCAGCTCACCATGCCTACTTCATTTCTATATATGTAACTATATATTGATACAATACATTTCCCTTTGGCCAAACCATCCAAATATAGACATCATGACACCCATATCTAAATACTTCAGCATATATATCCCCAAAATAGAGAAATTCCACATAACTACAAGAAAATCAACATGAATTTAATGGCATTATCCAACCTATAATCCAATTCAAATGAAAATATGTTTATAGATTTTTTTTAACTTGGAATCTAATAAAAGTTTATGCATTGAGTTTTTGCTATTATGTCCCTAGTCCTCCCAACATCACCCTCCACCCCATTCTGCAAAAAACTGCCCCTCTGCCTTCCTCTGTTCTAGATTATACTATCTGGATTCATTTGTCTATACTGTCATAATTAGATTCAGGTCAATGTTTCTGCAAAAACACAATAAAGGAGATATTATCTCTCTCCCACTGCATCAAACCAGGAGGAACAGCATGTCCCAATGTCCCACTCCTTGGCCATTCAGTTAAGGTAGTGACTGACCTCTCCATTGTAAGGGTGCATATTTTCCCTTTGTCATTAATAACTAAATCATGGTGAGATAATTTGAGTTTATGTGACTATCCTGTAGCCAACAACCTTTTGTCCAATGGTTTCAGCATCTGTTGATTATTCAGTTAATACATAGGAAAGTCTATCATTCTTCTGCATTTGTTATTCTTCTGTTTAAAAAAGTTTTTTTTTTTCCTTTCCATTCTCTCTTTCTCTCTCTCTCTCTCTCTCTCTCTCTCTCTCTCTCTCTCTCTCTCTCTCTCTCTCTCTCTCTCCCTCTCCCTGTGGAGTGTAGATTTTTAAAACATTTTATTCATTATATTATAATCCATTGTTGTTTATCATTGTTTGAATGCCTGTCACCTTTTTTATTACATATGATAAAATCATATAAGTTGACATGAACTTGGTGAGATGGGAGGAAACATAATAACTCTAGTAGTTAAGTGATGGTGTGTACACCCATGAACTGGTCATGGTTTGATTCCCAGACAGGTACATATTCAGGTTGTGGGCTCAATCCCCAGTAGGGGGCATGCAGGAGGCAGCCAATCAATGATTTTCTCTCATCATTGATGTTTCTATTCCTCTTTCCTTCTCCCTTCTCTCTGAAATCAATAAAAACATATTTACATATTATTAAAAAAAAAAAAAGAACTCCAGGTCTGCTGAAAGGCAGGAGGCATGAGCAAATCAGAGAGAGGAATCCCATACCATAGAGGCTGTGAGCCCCACAGGAATGGGGGGTTTCTGATGAACTTTCAAAACTATGGTCCTGGCAGCAGATAGTAGAGACAACGATAATTATCCTTACAACCACTACCCAGGGGATCCAGCAGACAAGTGTCTTAATGTGTGAGGAATTATTCCAATATAAAAGGACTTCAGCAAAGTAGCACATGGAGAAGGCAGTAGCAAACTTAGGATCCATCTTCTTTGAGATGGTGTTTGTACAATTGTTTGTTAAAAATTTGTTTACAGGTATACCATCACAGGATATATATTTTAAAATAGTATGTTTTGCCCTTCAGCAATTAGGTCTTTTGAGTCCCTTAAGGTCTGTAAACATAAGCTTTTTTTCTTTTCTTTTGAAACCATCCAAAACTAGGTGAGTACATGATCCAAGAGGGAACTGTAGTAGAACATTAATATAACCTAAGAAATGCTTTTGTAGACCAAGGAATATCTGGAGTTTGCTATAAGGCAGCATTCAGAATTAAAGTGTCATCTGTGGTTAAGTTCTAAAGCCTGAGTCTTATTTTGAATAAAAAGATACTATTCTCTCTGCTTGATCACAAGTACTGACATTTGAATAGAGGACCTAGACAATGCTTTAAAGTAAGGTACAACTATCATAATAGAGGAGAGGAGGAAGAAAATTCACTTCCAAGCCTGTGACAGCATCCTCAAGGCAAAGGAAGCCCTTCTCATTTAATTCTGACACCATGATGTTTTGGAAAAAAGGCTATCTGAAGTGACTCTCCAGATGTTTGCCTGGGCACAAAGCATTGTGCAGGCCTGACAACATGAGGTCTCCCTCTCGCATTTGTAATTTCTCCAGAGGAAGGAAGACAGTCCTTTAATCAAAACAATGCAGTGCATTCTATTGTGTGAGTCTGGTAACAACAGAGACAAAGAACAGCATTTGAAAAGGAAACAATGAACCTTGTTCTTTGCAATATTGGCACAAGCAGGACCCAGACTATTCAAAAAAAGATATGAAAATGTCCAATCGCAAAAATGTCAATGATGCCAACACAGATGAAAGGTGGTTGAGGGCTTTCAGAGAGTGAGGACATTTAGGGCAGCCCAGGCCACTGAACTGACCTGCTCTACCCAGGAACAGAAAGGCCTCTACCCCAGTAGAGTTCGTTTAAACAGGCGGCTGCATGTCATGAAAATTCTATCCAGCACATGGAAAGGAAGACCATTCCCTTCAGTTCTGGTAAGAGAGCTGGAGGCCACTGTTGAATATATGAATGATAGGAGCAACATATTAAGTATTTACGGTATCCAATAAACACTCATTTCTAAGAATTTAGCATGTTTACTCTTTTCATCTTCACAATAGCCTTTGAGATCATTCTATCATTATCACCTCTATTTTCAGATTAGGAAATTAAGACACAGAGAGGTTAAGTAACTTGCCCAAAGTAATTCAGCTCCTAAGTAGTAGACTTGTACTCAAACCCAGGCAGTTGGGCTCAGGGCTTACAGATTTAACTTTCAGGTGGCACTTAGAGCATTATAAACCCCACCAAAAAAAAAAAAAAAAAAAAGGAAGTACAAAATCCCAATATGTATCAAAACTAGGATCATCGGCCAGCACCTAGAAGTGATGGGGAATGGCATCCAGACAGTTTTGCTTTGCCAAATTCAAAGTAGGGACTATTTCTTTGTTATCCACTACACATGTAGCTTCATCACTTATAAGGCAGAGAAAGCAATAAGGGGACTAGACTCTGGACTCAGTTCCGACCAACAGACCATCTGGTGTGCACTATGGAAATGATGAGAACTGCATGATCCTATGACATCCCCTAGGCAAGGGGTTCTACAGTGGCATGCCCGGGCTCACTGGGAGAGCTTTCTATAAAAGCACATGCTCCTGGGTGCCACTACCAGAGTCTGATCTATAGATGATTCTGATTCAGTGGATGGAGGAGAGGGCTTTGATAAACACTGACCTAGCCTCTAAGAAATTAAATTTCAAAGAAGTTCAGAAAAGAGACACGTAGGATTTATTCTTCTAATAGAAATTGCTATAAATATCAATAACAAGATACTGCCAAATGACAAGATACTGCTAGAAAATAATATTCTTAGTGTAAAACTTAAAATAAATCCAGTGGGACTAAATGCTAAGGAGGCATGAAGGTTGTTTTTGATTTTACAACAGATATACACCAAGTTCCTATCCCCTCAGATTCTACAATTCAAATGGAGAAGGAAAATTACTGCAAAATTGGCATCCAATAATTGGTTACAGAATATGGTTAAAAGCTAGCACAGGCAGCTTTAAACTCAGAAGACTCCCAGACAGAAGCACAGGAGATCGGGGGAAGCCAGGAAGGCTGTGGTAGGACAGGGCCTCTGCTCTAACCAGCCTGATGATCAAGCCCCTGCTAGGTAACAGGCAGCATGAGAGGCCTGAGGGTTTTGTGGAAGGAATTAATATCCTCCCCTGTTCTCTTTGAACTTAATCTAATAAGACTTTATGATTATTTCATAACCACTGTATTTTCTGAATTTCAATGTTCAAATAACATGCTTCAACATGAGTCCCACTTCTATATGTTTATATTCTGATTTGTTCCAGGTGTATTGGGGACTGATGGAAACCACACACAAAAAAATACACACATATTACACACATAAACACTACATACATACTGATGAGCTTAAGTAGAAATACATAAACACTACATACAGATACCAAGTGCTTTCAGGTGACAGCTACGTGGAGAGAGAGCAGGTGGAGAATATATCTAAACCCTTTCTCACATCACATCCGGCAGCCTGTTCCTGACATGGCTGTGCAGCTGCAGCAGCCCCATAGAGGGAAGAGAGGACCCTGCCAGACACAGGAGTTTAATGTTATGTTTTACCACAGCCCTTTCTCACCTGAGTCTTCCATCATTGCTCATGAAGACCTTATACCAATATTTCTACTTAAGCTCATCGGACTATGATTTATAGTAAGAAATTAATCTTCCATAAACTTGTTCATCCATTTCACTTAACATATACTTACTATACTCATCCCAGGTGCCAGCCACTGTTCTAGATGCAGAGGATTCTGCAGAGAGCAGAAGAGTTTATATTCTGCTGGGGGCGGGGGTAGACAATGAACAAGTATAACATATTTGTGGGTCAGACAGTGGCAAAGCAAAAGAGGAAAAACAAATCAGAGAAGGGGGATGGGGAATGTTGAGATGCTAGGGAAGGGGAAGATGGTAGTTTAAATAGGGCAGCCAGGGAAGGTGAGCCTCCAAATCAAACCCAGCCTGCAGGAAGAAGGAGAAGGGATAAATCATCTCAGGGAAGAAAAATAAAACCAGCAAAACGGATGTGCTAGGAGCCACGAAGTGTTTTCTGGTCCCATTTTTGCCTCCTGTGGGCTTTAGACAAGTCACTTTCCTCTCTGATCCTATTTCCTTCTAGCTAAATTAAGGGGTGTCACTTGATTCTTTTCAAGTTACCTTCTGACTCCAGCATTCCCCGGCACTGATCTGTGTTCTAAAAAGCCTCCCTTATTCTGGACAGACATGTGTGTGTGTGTATTTATCTGTGTATATAACATACAAAAATTATGGAACAAAATTTCATAAACAACACTACCCTAATTGCATCCAAAATACACTAATATTTTCCATTCTGTCCTAATCACCTCTATATTCTTCTTTAAGCGCTGATTGCACCCAACTATATTGATTTCATTATCCACTAATAGTTCTTCAAGAACTGTTTACAGACATTGAAATCTTCTTGGTTGTGGAGCCAGATGTGATATCAAAACCTACCCTCATCCCAGAAAAAGGACAGCTCGCCCAGCACAGGAGGCTTCCTCTGCCCTGAGCTTTCAGCAGCCCAGAAAGCCCCAGTGCACACGCAGGCCTGCACAACCGCAGGCAAGATCTGAGTGTTAGTCAGACAGGTTTGGCCTCAAATCCCAGTTCTGCCACTGCTTTCTTTGATCTTCTGCAAGCTGCACAACACTGAGGCTTAGGTTTCCTATCAGGATAATGAAAATGACAATGAAGATTAAATCATATAATATACATACAATGGCTGGCTAAGTATCTGATACTTAATAAACATTTAAACCTGGTGGTGGTGAAGATTGTAATGGTGGAGGTAGAGGCAAACTGGAGCAAAAAATAAAACTTTGTTTTACCAGGCGCTTAGAATCTAAAATGTTAGTGAAACACAGCTAGACATGTGAATGCCAATAACCATCTTAGCAATAAACATCACAGGAGGAAGGATGTGTGATTCCAAACCGCTTCTTTCGATCCTAAACCCTCTCTCTTCGCTCTTCAGCAAACTGTATGGAAATGGGTTTGAAGAAATACAAAGTCATGCATTCAATGGGACGACGCTGATTTCCCTGTAAGTACGCTCGTTTCCCCAGCTCATGAATAAAAATGATATATTACTCTGGCTACCAGACCACATTCAATCTTCAGCAACTAACTCAGGACAAAAATAAACTTTCAAGTGGCTAGTCCTCAGTGTTTCATGCATGTTACTAGGCAACTGGCTGGCTGGAAACCCCAGAGCACCCTGATTTCAAAGATAGATGCAGCCAGAATACATTGAAGTTGACAGCTTGCTGAAATATTCAACACCCTACTTTAGGTGCCGCCGTCTCTCAGCCTCCCTCTTAGCCCCCGTGCTCAGGTTGAGGGTGTGTTAGAGGCAGCATGATTTCAGCAAAGAAATTCTTCCCACTGGCCCCACTGCAGAGAAATCGGGTAACGCCATTTACCAGCTAATCAGCCATAGCAGACTCACTCAGCGTCCCATCTCCCTACTGCTGGGGGTGGGAGGTGGGCGAGGGGAGGGAATAGGCTGCTCATTTTCCACCAGGTGAGGGAGCCAATAACATTCACCACACCCTACTTGAGTCCCAAGTGTTAACAGCTTTTATTTTATTTTTAAAATTTTATTCATTTTTATTGATTTCATCGAGGAATGGAGAGGGAGAGACAGAGAGAGAAATACCAATGATGAGAGAGAATCACTGACTAGCTTCCTCCTGCTCCCAATAGGGATCAAGCCCACAACCCAGGCATATGCCCTGACCAGGAATCAAAATGGTAACCTCTTGGTTCCTATGTCGATGCTCAACCGCTGAGCCACACCAGGCCTGACCCCACTGTTAGCAGCTTTTAAATCAAGGGGAGCATCCCAAACAATTGGTTCCTTCATTGTTCTCAACCTCTTTCTTTGTAAGGCTCCTTTTCTATTAGAGTGGTTCATGCGCAAAGCTTGCCAGGCAAAAGCTGTTTGAACCCTAACGGTCAAGGTGACTGATGATCACACTACAGCTGTGTATAATAAAAACTAAGAACACATGAAAACCCCAACTATAGTCAAAATTAAGGAAAATAGATAAAAAATACTTTTTAAATAAGTAGATCATATAAAATATAGTCTACACCAGTGCTTCTCAAACTTTAACACACATAAGAATAATGTGAAACTTGTTAAAACACAGATTCCTGAGCCTGATTCTCAGAGACATTCATTCAATGGGTCTAGGACAGAGATTATGAATTTGCAATTTTAACAAACTCTCAGTAGATGCTGATGCTGCTGGTCTGAAGTTGAGGAGCATAAGTCTACATAATATATTTACTTTAATAATAGATATTAATCAAAGACCCTCTTATATAGATACCATGCTACATAACTTGGTGGCTAAGAGAACAGACCTAAGTGTCACTGACTGGACTCTCTATTCAATCCCACTATTTATCAGCTACCTTGGAGAAGTTACTCAACCTATTTAAGATACAGTGTTCTCATCCATAAAATGGAGCCACTAATAGGCTTGTTTTGAGGATACCCACCCCTGAAAATGAAAAGGTCTGTTTTGTATTCTCAGCACTTAAAACAGTGCCTAGCACAGAGTATGTGCTCAATTATTAATTATTTATTACATCACATAATTATCAGTGAGTAAATAATAATTAAAATTAAATTTTTATGCTTTTAGGATAGGTCTGGCACATACTAAGTATTCAAGAAACTGCAGCTTTTTAAAAGTTATCTTTCCTATCATGGAGTAAATTTCCCATCATTTTCTTCTTGACTTGAATTTAATGAAGGGTCCACTCTGGCCAATAGAATCTGTTTCTGCCAAATCTAAATTAGAGGCCTATCCTCTCTTGGCACAGTGCTCTTAGATGCCTCATTCAATTATTCACTCAACAAGTGTGTGCCACGTATCAGCTATGTTGAAGGGAACATGTTATATTTTCAGAGGAAATGAGCATGAATAAATCTGATGTTTGCCCCAAAGAAGCCTAAAGCCTAGGAAGAGGCATCTCCAAATGGTATGCAAACTGTACACTAAGTAGTAACTGAAACAGAAGACATGGAGAAGGAAACCAGAGAAAGCCTTGTGAGGTAGACTTTGAGCTGGGCCCAAGAGAGGCAAAGACAGAAGGAAAATGCATTTTAGGCCAAGGACAACAAAAAGAATGGCCCAGGAGAGGAAGTAAGAGATGTGTTCATAGACCAGCAAATAGAAGCTTTTAGAAAGCTCTGATTGTGAGTGGACACAGTAGGAAGTGCCTTAGATTCCAGAGAAAAGAATTTGGACTCTGTTCTGTAGGAAATGAGAACCTGTTGAAAGTTCTGGGATGGGAGTGTGAGAGTGGAGCTCTGAGAGGGTCATCTGTTAGCAGGAAGGACACAGGGTGGAAAGGGTAAGCTCAGAACTAGAGACACAGACATCACGGTTATCCGAAGAGAGGGGGCTTGTGGCTGAGGTCACCTGCCCAAGGGGGGAAATAAGAGGACTGAATATAAAACTGGAGGAACAAGACATAAGAAAGAGAAGCCAAACCAAAACAACCAGGTGGGAGGAAACCAGTGGAGTATACCTTGGGAGGTCAGATAGGACTTCAGGAGGGAGGGCTCGGTCAGCAGTCTCCGCTGCTTCAGAGATGCCAGAATGGGTGTGGACCTCGAATAATAAAACCAGTGTAGGTTCTAAGTCCCCCATACTTCATGGTTGGGAGAAAGAGAAAAGTAAGAACAGAAATAAAAGTCAGTCATTTATTCATTCAAAAAGCATTTATTAAGCATCACCAATATAATAGGCACTTTGTGAAGTGCTGGATTGCATGGTAGAGTGGAAACATTCCCTGTCCTCCTGAAGTTTCTGTTCTAGCATAAGAAACAGACAAAAAGGGGGTAATTTAATTTCTTGTAGGTAGTGATTTATACTCTGAAGAAAATAACCTATCGCCGAGCTCTGCGAGAATACAGAGGGCACCTGACTGAAGGCTGGGGGATAGAGTCACGGAGAATATGATATTTAGGCTGAGCCTAAAAGATGGCAAGGAGTCCACCATGGCAATAGCAAGGAAAGTGTGTTACAGAAAGCAGCAGCATATGCAAAGGTCCTGAGTTGGGAAAGAAACGAAATTTCTAAGCTCCAGGAATTCCAAGGAGGCTGGTGGGGCTGGAGGGTCATCTGCAAGGGGAAGACTGGTGTGCAATAAATCTGGAGGTAAAGCAGGAGCGAATCATGCAGAACTGAGGGGCTATGGAAAGAAGTCTGAATTCTCTCCTAAGAACAAAAAGACCCATTGAAAGATTTAATCACAAAAGGAGGAGGAGATTTCAAAACTGTTAAGAAAAAGTTCCAAACTCTACATTCAGCCCAAGGTCTAACACCTTCCCCATTAATAGGCCTGTCCAAAGGTGTTCAGAATGACACTAAAGCTCTGTCAAGTTCTCAAGCGCACTACTTACAAAGGCAGGACAGGGTGGAGAGGAGCAGTATTGGAAGGTAGTTCTCAGACACCTCCAGAGGGGTCTGAGAGTCAGGCCACCTCATTCCCAGAGCACCATGTTAGGAAAGCTTTGGGTTGAGTTTGGGAGATCCCCACTCTGCTTCAAAAGGTCATGCTGACTGTGCTTCTCACAACAGGAGGACCAAGTCACCTGGGAGAGTTCCCAAAAGTGACCTACAGAAAAACGTGGTCGATGAATTTGATTTACTTTTGACCAAGTTCCACAATGCAGTTATCGGTATACAGAAAGATGTGAATTTTAGTGAAACATGCAAGATGCTTTCATGAAATTTGAAAAATTAATTGGACCTGGCTGACATGAGAATTATTTGTCACAGAGTTCAGTTTCAACAATTTGTGACCAGAACTGAACATAATTAAAGCAAACCAAATCAGGAAGAACTTATGGAAGCTCAGGAAGGAAAGCCTCTTTTGATTTAGATTTTAAACAGCAACTGGCTCTGACAGCCTCATCTTTTGAAAGTGGAAATATACCCAGGGAAAGGGATGATGTGGGACTGACGGGTGCCTTCTGATGTAAGGGCTGAGGGATTCCAAGGAGCACACTTAGTAGAAGCACTTAGAAAACAGCTACCCAGGGAGCAAGATGCAAGGGCTCTTGCATGGAGACAAGCGCAGACGCTGGAGAAGATGGAACGCTGTGAGATGTGCCAGGTAATTGCCTAGCCATCCTGCAGGAGAGAGGCTGGGTGTTGGAGCATCTGTTCTGCCATGTAACGCTGTACCACGAAGCAGAAGAATCCTGTTCCCATGCTCGCAATCACCACACCAACAGTGGATGTCCACTGTGCCCCCTGCCCAGGGATTCCAGAACGCTCTTTGAGTCCCCACCCTTCTCTTTAGGAAGAAAGTGCTGAAAAGAAGGCTGGCAAGATGGAGCCCAGGGGCTCCTCTCCCAGCTCCCTTGTCCACGTAGAGAAGGGCTTGTGATTGGAACCCAGCCGCAGGGCCCAGACAGGAGGCTACTCTGCAGGACAAGCCTGGAGTATTCCTGAGCGTTCACACTGAGCTGCTTTGAATTAAAGGGAACAGAAGCCCTCAGGTAGCCTCTGCCTTAGCAGCTCTGGGCTTCTGCCACAGGCAAGAGCGGTGGCCCTGAATCCTTCTGCTTCCACAATATGCACACCTGGCAATGATCACATACTCACACAGACCAGCAGGGCTCCCAAGTAATTTTCTCCACAGCCTGCACTTCCATCCTTTCTCACCTACTTAGAAATACAATACATTTGGGGGTGGGAAAAGTGCAATTAGCATGATAAAAGGGGTGACATGGAATGAACCCTATTTTTTTTTTTTCTTTTTAAGGAAAGTATTTGCAAACCTGAATATATTTCTAGTAAATTTTGAGACCTCCGAGGTCAGGACATGAGAGCCTTGATCCAGGGCAGGCTGCACTTCACCCTCCAGCCCTGAACACTGGAGCAGCACTCTCCTCCTCCCAGCTGTGACAGTCATGGCCCATAACCCCAGGGCTCTTTAAGTTGTAGGACAAAAAGGTTCCAGCCAGTAGGAGAAATCACAGGGGAAAGGCGGGGTCAAACACACAATTTCACAGTTTTGCCAAGATTAGCATGTTTTTCTCCCACTTCACTCTGAGCCCTTGAACCCTGAGCACCAGGCACAGGCTGGCCCAAGCATGGGTGTACACAGCTGTGACTGGTTACACAGGAGGTGCAGACTCCACTAAGGACACTGTCCTTCTCCACAGGGAGCTGAAGGGAAACGCACACCTGAAGAAGATGCACCACAGAGCCTTCCAGGGGGCCACGGGGCCCAATATCTTGTGAGTACATATCTTACTTCCCAAGGAGCTGTTCTCATTATGCCTGAGGATTTAAGAGGTGTCTATAAGAATTCCTTCCACCCACGCACCCAAAATATTTTCTCTTCCAGTCTGTCACTGAGACTGAAAATCTGTTATCAAAGATCCACTCCTTTGTAATGAGACCTTGTCATTTCTAGAATCCCAGTTTAAAATATATTCCCCCAACACACACACCACTACCACTACAACAAGGCCTACGGAGTCATGTGCTCAATCCCTAACAAATCTGTATATCACTAGATAACTCTATAAAGCAGAATAAGAACACTGGTACCTAAACTGATAAGGACACAATAGCAGCAAAAGTCTGCAGTCCCTGGGGCAGGTCTCCTGCCTTGATTGTTCCACCAAGGCCAACACTAGACATCATTCCCTGTTGTCAAGTTCTCCTGTCCATCCATCACCTATTGATCCCCTCCCATGTATTGGGGAAGTTTTCTGAGTGGGTTGGGGCATGGAGGGGGGGCAGGCTGTGCTGATGGAAGAGTTCATGGGACATCAGCAGCAGCCTCTTAGAAGATGGGCAGTTTTTAAATTTCCACTGACTGCTCTTCCTCCTCACATTTAACTTGATCAGTGTTTCCTTGGACATTGCCTCATCTAGAAAAATCAAGGAGTTCAGGGCCTTGTTTACAAAACCTGAGCTCCCTGCACAGCTCTGCCTGCATGGCCGCTTGCTTTCGACTGATGAAGCCAGGTTTGATGAAGCCAGGTTGCCTTTAGAGGACATGCATTCTGCTACCCAGGTAGATGATGGCTCATGCCACACAGCAGCTCTGAATAGGGTAGCCACCTGTGCTTCATGAAAACCTACCCTGCAGAGCTTGATCAATCAGAGACCAAGGCATCTGAAGCCCTATTTCCCCTGGGGTAGAGCACTAAAGCTGATGTCATCACATGTGCCTGCTGTCTCATAAAGCAGGTAGTTATTTCACTTTTGCTAAGTGGAAAGAGGTAGAGGGGGGAGAGACGGAGAAATGCTAATGAATGTATGACAGGTACAAGGAGTTATACTCAACCTTGACAAGAATAATAGAGTGCATAAGAAAAAAAACAGCATAGCTTTTTTGAATTTAGATCTTAATGAGAGTAACTGAAATGGAAAGTTAGGGGAAGGTGAGATGAAGAAAACATTCCTCACATCTAGAATGAGGCTATTGTTCAGAGGAGGTTTCAATGAATCAAATGTATAATATAAATAAATAAAAAAGCCTTTCTCCCTTTTATTGTTCAGGGATATTTCTTCCACCAAACTGCAGGCCCTGCCTAGCTATGGGCTGGAGTCCATTCAGACGCTAATTGCCACCTCATCCTATTCTTTAAAAAAATTGCCATCAAGAGAAAAATTTACCAATCTCCTGGATGCTGTATTGACTTACCCCAGCCACTGCTGTGCTTTTAGAAACTTGCCAACAAAAGAGTAAGTAAAAAACAATAAGTAAAGCCTGCCAAGCTGTGGCAGCAGCTTAGACATCAAAACACAACTGGTGGAGGGCTCCCTGCCCTTTCACTCCCTGCCTTCTAGGCCATTTTCAGAGAGACAGGAAGAAAGTGAACCATCCTGCTTCCTCCTGAAAACCAATTCCAAAGAGTCACTTCACCCTGCAGCTAGAGACCTCTGAACTCCATTCTGAGTTAATTGAATTATAGTCTTAAATTATTAGGTTATCATAGCAGCTGTAAAATGGATACATAACTGGCATTTTAAAGATCAATTAGCTCTAATCCTTATCAGAGCCAATAATTCCTTAAGAGGTGGGGAAGTAGCCTCAAGAGGATAAATTTTAATGTCTTCCTCTTTAATAAAAGATAGACAAAATCCCCACAGAAAGTTTTTAAGCTATTTCTCTCACAGCAGCAGACCATCTTCTGTTTCCGAACAGAATCCTAGCTCCCTAAGGACCAGCTTAGGGAACAAAAAAAGCTCAAACTCCTGGCTGCTTTGTGTCCAGTGAGGGGCATCTTACTACTTCAGCTGACTCACTTCAGTGCAGAATGGAATGGCAGGGTGTGCAGAGTTTCATTCTTTCCTTAAAGCACTGTTTTCCAAACCTTTTTTTTTTTTTTTTTTTTTTTACTAAGATGCATAGAAAATACCTTCTTTACATTGTAACCCAGCACACATCGCATATATAACAAAACAAAGCTTAACTTTTCACATGTGACACACTCTGATGTTTTCTTGCCTATTTTTTTTAGTCTGCTTTGTTCCGTGGTTGGTTGTGTGTTTGAGAGGGCTCATGCAAGGCTCCCTGAGGAAGTGACTTCTGCTGAGCCTTGAAGAACAGGTAGAAGTTGGCTAGACAGGTGTGGGGGAAAGCATGCCAAAAAGACAAAACAGTTCCTGTGAAGGCACAAAGGCAATAGACAATAGGATGAAAGTCATTCAGAAAAACTGGGACAGGGAGACTTGGTACACGAAGGAAGGTGAATAGGAAATGGGGGTGAAGTGAGCCATGACAAGGCTCTGAGTGCCAGGCCAAGTTGTTTAGAGGATGGGAAACCACTGAAAAATTTAAAGCAAAATTACTCAGACTTCTTTTTACCAAACATCACTCTGGCAGCAGGATGGAGGATGGGTTGGAAGTGAGCAAAGCTGGTGAGAGGCCAACTAGAAGAACAGTACAGACAGTGGTTTATGATAAAGCTGACTCTGCACACCTCTTTTGTGACAAAGGTTGTTGTCACAACCTTTCTGAAATTACTGGCAATACTTTAGTTCAGGTGTGTGTTTTTCCCCCCAGTAGATGAAAGAGACTACTTCTAGGTATAAAAGGGGGGAGTGGATTATGCAATTGTGGGCCAGTATCAAAGTACAATGGGAATGTAGTTACACAGGGGTTGACTTGAGTGGAATTAACTTGCCTCCTTCCGTGACCCTAAAGCTTGAAACCTTGGATGCTGATGAGGATGAAAAGCCTGAAGCTGGGCCAGTGGATGTTTGTGCAATCTCTGAGTGACCCTCTGCCCTGCAGCTGTTAAGTCTGGATAATGCTCACAGCTGCCTGGGCAAAGGGCCCCAAAAACTTCCTTGGTATCTATGATTAAAATTTCAAAAAAGATAGACAGAACCCACTGCTATTATCTGAAGGACAAGAACAACCACATTTCATGTTAACTGAAGACTAGTACACTCAGAACCTCTTAGAGTCAGATTAGAGCCAGCGTGCGCGCGCGCGTGCGCACGCGCGCGCGCACACACACACACACACACACACACACACACACACACATTTTATTCAAATTTCAGGATGTATAATCCTCACCCCAAATGACAAGCTGATTATTTAAAATGAGTCCAGTGGCCGAAACCAGTTTGGCTCAGTGCGTCGGTCTGGGGACTAAAAGGTCCCAGGTTCGATTCCGGCCAAGGGCATCGCATATACCTTGGTTGCGGGCACATCCCCAGTGAGGGTATGCAGGAGGCAGATGGTCGATGGTTCTCTCTCATTGATGTTTCTAGCTCTCTATCCCTCTCCCTTCCTCTCTGTAAAAAAAAATCAATAAAATATATATTTTTTAAAATAAATAAATAAAATGAGTCCAGTGGGTCAAATAGTTCAGATATACTCTCCATTTTCCTGATTCTATACAGTCATTCCTAAAAGAACCTGTCCTGCCAATATTGGGAAGGATAGTGTATAGAAATGCCCAGTTCGGATTGCCTCATATCTCCTTCCTCCTTAGGGAAGATTGAGGTTCTCAAAGCCTGCTGTAATTCTTCTATTTCTTCCTCAACTTTTCCTTTGTTCCTACCTTTGGTTTCATTTCAAGGATATAAGCATATATGCCTTCTTTAATTCTTTGCCTTCACTCTCTCCCCCTTCTATTGGCCAAAGTACTAAAAGAGAAAGATGAAGGAAAAAGAAGCACCCACATACACTCCTGGGGGAGAGGGGAGTAGAAAATTCACATAATGTCAGGTCCAGAAGCTTCAAACCCTTAAAAATGAGATTCCCAGTTACAGTTCAAAGCCATGAACTCTGAAGGGTTATTTGTTCATCAAGGTGAACGCAGAGAGGAGAGTGGTAAGAAGCAAACCTTAATATACCATAAAGGCAGCTTTTATTGAGCACTGAAAAAACTGATTCAATCTGACAAATTTTTAAGTTTTTTCCTCTTCAGAGCCCACACGAAACACTTAGCATTCAAGCATTTCATCAAAGCTGGAGGCACTCTAATGACAATTCAGAAGCCTCTGCTCTCTCTCCAGGAAGCGATTCAGCTAGGACAATAGTGCAGAACATGAAGCTGGTATAATGGGCAAGGAATTTAGATGAACAAAGCATAAATAGACATGACCAGATTTAGTTTGAAGACCAAAAGCTCAACTGGTATTTTTTTTTCCACCTCTTCTCTTTCAGGCAGAATTTTTCATTTTCCATTTTTGAAAACGTTTCTAAACAATGTGAAAGCACAGCGAGGAAACCAAATAATGAAACCCTGTAAGTATTTGCATGCGAAGAAACTCAGGAAGCCCCATCTCATTCTGCGTGTCCCTTATTAGTATTATCAGTGTAACAATTTTCTTTCGATGAAAGTCCTGGTTGGGGGGATGTTTGCAAAGCATTTTAAAATAACTTTAAAATGAGAACTTTTATTTGTAAGTGGCATCCAGTTGATCAGGTATCTCATTCAACTGGTTAAAAGAAAAACCTCTCTAAATAAGTACCTACATGTTCATTCTACAATTATATTAAATTCTCAGAACTCCAAATTTTATTTGCATGTATTTTAATGTCATAAGGGCTTGTTTAAATGAAAACTTAGTTCACTAGGAATTTTCTCTAGTCATATGGTCAGTATCCCAGCAAGATCAACCAATGGCAGATATGGCTTCTAGAAGTAACAACTTCCTTCCAAGAGACCAAGGCCACCTTGACCACTCCACTCTGGAGCTTAATGTTATTCAGCCTCAATGCCATCACTAGTATACACTGGATGGGATCTGAATTATCATTCTATTCACTTTTTTTTTAACATTTTCCTGGCTGCCTTGGCATTTCACATGCCTTCAAATGTAAACAAGCGTGCTTCAGAAGATAACCCCAGGGTCCCCAGGCCACATCTACTGTGATTTAGAAGTTTGATCATTCCCCCATGTGTCCTTCAGGCTCTAAAACCAGATGTCCTTCTAAGATATCTTGCCAATTTCCTGACCCTTTTCTACATCTTCCCGCCCCGCCCCCTTCTTTTCCACTCTCAATCTGCACGTTATAGACAGCAGGGTAGTGTGATGGAAGAACCCTGGGCCTCGTCACTCCTCAGAGTTGGATGTGAATCTTTGGCAGTAATGTTCCTGTTAAAACGCTGAGTATTCCTGGACAAGAGTTATGTTTTGGGGGGCCTTTCTTCATCTGTAAGGGACAGCAGAAGCACCATTTGACTTTGAGAACTATGAGGGTGAAGGGAGTTGAAGAATGTGACAGCATCCAGGGTACATTATAAAAGACACCAACTCCTTTTCTTGTTCTTTTAACTAGGTCTGTCACCATCTGGCTTCCAATGTTTCTTTTGCTCACCCTTCCTAATCTTCCCTCTTGATAGTCTCCCTATGCGTCACCTTCCACATTATTATTATTATTTTTTTTTTTGAATTGCATGGCTTTTTCCTCATCAACGGGAAACCACCTCTGGGTACAGCCAATGGTAGCACCAAGGGATGGTTTGGGGAGGGGAAACTTTAGCTCATTCTCAATAGTCCTCATTGCCCCCCCCCCTACTGCAAGCCTTCCCAAATGAGCCTTCCCAAATCTCATTTGCTAGCACTGCTTTAAAACATGTCCCCTAATCTCCAGCATCTCCAAAATTACCTGAAATTAATGTCATTTAAAAATATGTACTTCCTGCAAAAAACATTTTTATGATAAATCCCCGTTCTCCCTTTCCCACCAGATTCCTGCCATTCCTAAGACCCTGGAGTTTAGGATTTCTAGAGCCAGCCACTAAGCCTTACCTACTCTCCCAGGATAAAAAGGTGTGCTTATTGTTATGGCTGGCCCTCTGTTCTACAGCTCCCATCTCTGCTCCTCCTTCCTCTGACTCAATATCGCTAAGCCCATCCAAGTCCATTCACATTCCCTCCATAAGCTTCAGTACTTAACACAGCTCCATGCTGAGTTTTGTCAATAAGCACGATGCTGCCCTCAGGAGCCATCCCAGGTCACAAATGTAAGTAGCAGCAGAGGCGTATTTGGTCTGAAGATAAATCACCAAGGAGAATATTGCTAGACATAGGCCCAGTAATGCAAAAAAAAAAAAAAAAAAAGAAAAAAAAAGATTGGGCAAAGGACCAGGGGAGTAAGAGAATTAATGTGCCTGGCCTTTTATTAATATTAAATATATTCAGAATTTTTGGAAGTTTTCTAAAAGCTGAGGCAGTTTTATTAAGGGATAAGGAAATTAAGGCAGCAATTGTTTGAAAGTTTACACTTGAATTAATATAGACTTTTATTTTGTAGGAATCATCCAGGGAACTTGCTTAAAATGCAGATTCCTGGGCTCTGTCCCTAGAATGTTTGATTCTGGATTTGAAGTAAAGCCAGGAATCTATATTTTACAAACACTCTGGTGATTCTGATGGAAGTGGTTCAAGGACCACACTTTGAAAAAGGCTGACTGAGCTGGTGAAGTAGAGGAAAGGGCCCTGAACTGTGGGTATGCAGACCTCGTGTTGCCACAGATGCCTAGTGCTGGGGAACTTAGGCAAGCCACTAACCACCTTTAATCCTCATTTCCTTAACAATAAAATGAGGGGGTCAATGAAGTGGTCTTAGGGATCTTCCTAATGCTAAGAAATAACCTATTTTCTTTAACCATGCTTTATAACCCCCTCTTTAAAGATTAAAACAATAGGTAATTACATTGATGTGCATGAATTGAGGACTTACAATTAATAATGAAACATATGAGGTTCCTTTGCAGTCTTCTGTACACAGCAGCAGTCCTTCTATGAATTCTGACACCTTTCTAAAGTCCTGGGTCATAGATTTTTCTTTTTTAAAATCTGTGTTCTTTCATTTAAGTAATTGTGTTGCTCCAATATATCACTCCATCCACTCACTGAATTAGGTACACACTTACTTATATGGGACATAAGAAGCTACATTTTGAAGGTAGAGAAAAATGCTTGTTTAATGTGTGAGGAACCCTCAGGTGAGATACATAATTGTAATGGCCCTGACAGGAAAAAAAAATATGACTAATTCTCCAGCTCCCAAGATTATAGCAGCCAACTGTGAGCAAAGAGAAAATTTGTTGAGCCTGCATGCATCATACTGTAGTCCCTGCTTCCTCTCAGAGCGAGGATCACTCTGGTTTATTCATTGCACACACATTACTGAATGGATACTCAGAGCCAAAATTGTGGGAGGCGATGAGATTCCAGAAATAAATAAAACCTAGTCCCCTGCCATCAAGCAACTAATAAACTATTAAACGCATCACTGCATAATGACAATGTGGTTTGATAATTATAATAGTATCTAAGAGGGAGAGAAGGGGTAATAAACTCCTTGGAGGTGTAGAATCAAGAAAATCGTAGAGCCAACTTTAAGGATGAGAAGGAATTCACCAGAGAAATGAGAGGGAAGGGAAGAAGAAACAGCATATATGTACAAAGATAGAATGAAACAGAACTTCTTCTGAAAGCCACTAGTCACTTCATGAGACCAAAAGGACAACTGCACAGGGATTTGTGAGTTAATTATAAGAATCTCTAATATCCACTGAACACTTAATACATGTCAGAATTTATTCTAGACATTCCACGTGTGTCCCTGCATTTAATCCTTAGCATGATCCTATCAAGGAAGATATGATTATTGCCCTATTTGACAAATTTGTTTTCTAAAGAAAATCGTCCTCTGTAAACAACTTCATTAAGTCTTTGCATCAATGTATCAATACTAGGTGTACCGGTTAATAATGCAGATTTTGTAATCAAAGAAAACACAATCATTTCAAGAGAAACATCAAAAGTGCTTTATTCAAAGTAATGTCCATCACTAGCTACACATTTCCCCCTCTTTCATGTAATTTGTGGATACCGTCCCAATTGAAGTTTTCTTGTTTTGAGGCAAACCATTTAGAGACCAAATTTTCCACTTCTTCCTACATTTTGAAGTGCTGCTCAGAAAGTGCCTGTGCCAGTAATCAGAAAAAGTGGTAATCTGAAGGAGCAAGGTCTGGTGAATAAGGCAGGTGGGTTAATACTTCCCAGGCAAGATCTTTTAATGTCTTTAACTGGTCTTGAAGTGTGTGATGATGCGTTATCATGAAGCAAAATTACTTTGCTGTGTCTTCTGGCCCATTCTGGTCATTTCATGATAAAAGTGTGGTTCAAATTGATTATTTGTTGTTGGAAGCAATCAGTATTAATTGTTTCACCTGGTCTTAGAAGCTCATAATACACCACATCTTCCTGATCCCACCACACACAGAGCATTATCTTCTTTCAGAAGCAGATAATGCCTTACAGTCGATGTTGATGGTTGACTTGGATCAACCCATGATTTTTTGCATTTGGAATATTCAAAATAAATCCACCTTTCATCGCCAGTCACATTTCGATGCATCAAAGACTTGCTTTTGTGCCACTGAAACAACATTTTTCTGATAGTTTTTCAATTTTCCATTTGTCTTTTGTTCAGCTGATGTGGCACCCATTTTCCTTCCTTTAAAATCTTTCCCATTGCTTGTAAATGATCGGAGATTGTTTGCTGAGCAACGTTTAATCTTTCTGCAAGTTGTTTTTTAATTTGACACGCATCTTCATTCAGTAATGCTTGTAACTGTTGGTCTTCAAATTTTCCAGTTGACCTAGATGTCCTTTGTCTTTCACATCAAAATCATCACTTTTAAAGCATTTAAATCAGCATTCACAAGTATTTTGAGATGGAGCATGTTCACCATAAGCTTCCCAAAGTATATGATAACTTTCAGCAGCACTTTTCTTCAAAATAATGAATTAAAACTTCCTGAAAATGCTCTGTAGCATAAAATTGCACATTTTCAAAAATAAAAATATCTATGCTAGAACATTCAGAAAATTTGATATATGAAATTTTGAAGCTTGTCAATACAAAATAGCATACATATCAAATCACATATATATCAACATATGTGTAACTCCATTTATTGAAAAAATATGCATTAATCAGTATACCTAGTATTATATATATATGGTTTTTTATTTCCTTCTTAAGGAACACCTACATCAATTCAGAGTTCTCAGATAATTTAACAAATAAATGTAAGACTAATATTGTTGTGGCTTTGTTTCCTTTTATTTCTTAGGCTTTAAAAAACAGTAAGAATTATTGTTGAATTTTTTTAAATAATCAGCATCATAAAAAATCCCTTAAGTTTACATTGAGCCTAAATATTCTTCTTGCAGTTATTCTGCCATCTTTGCTGAGAGTGAACTGAGTGGCTGGGATTATGACTATGGTTTCTGCTCACCCAAGACAGTCCGATGTGCTCCTGAACCAGATGCTTTTAATCCCTGTGAAGATATTATGGGCTATGTATTCCTTAGGGTCCTGATTTGGCTGATTAATATCCTAGCCATCATGGGAAACATGACTGTCCTCTTTGTTCTCCTAACCAGTCATTATAAACTGACAGTGCCCCGTTTTCTCATGTGCAATCTCTCCTTTGCAGACTTTTGCATGGGGCTCTATCTGCTGCTCATTGCTTCAGTTGACTCCCAGACCAAAGGCCAGTATTATAATTATGCCATAGACTGGCAGACAGGAAGTGGGTGTGGAGCTGCTGGCTTTTTCACTGTATTTGCAAGTGAACTTTCTGTCTACACCCTCACAGTCATCACACTAGAAAGATGGCACACCATCACCTATGCTGTTCAGCTGGACCAAAGGCTACGATTAAGACACGCCATTCCGATTATGGTTGGAGGATGGTTCTTTTCTACTCTAATTGCCATGTTGCCCCTTGTAGGTGTCAGCAGTTACATGAAGGTCAGCATTTGCCTCCCTATGGATGTGGAAACCACTCTCTCACAAGTCTACATATTAACCATTTTGATTCTCAATGTGGTGGCCTTCATCATCATTTGCGCTTGCTACATTAAAATTTATTTTACTGTTCAAAATCCAGAGCTGATGGCTACCAACAAAGATACAAAGGTTGCTAAGAAAATGGCAATTCTCATCTTCACCGACTTTACCTGCATGGCACCAATCTCTTTTTTTGCCATCTCAGCTGCTTTCAAAATGCCCCTTATCACAGTAACTAACTCTAAAGTTTTACTGGTTCTTTTTTATCCAGTCAATTCTTGTGCCAATCCATTTCTGTATGCGATTTTCACAAAGGCATTCCGAAGGGATTTCTTTCTGTTGCTGAGCAAATTTGGCTGCTGTAAACATCGGGCTGAACTTTATAGAAGGAAGGATTTTTCAGCTTATACCTCCCACTGCAAAAATGGCTTCATTGGATCAAATAAGCCTATCCAGTCTACACTGAAGCTAACCACATTGCACTGTAGATATACAGTTGATGAGACTTGTAAAGAGTGTTAACTGTTCCATCAGTAACCACATTACTGAACTATGCTTAAATATGTAGAAATTATCTGTACCAGCAATTTTAACAGAGTTGGTTTTTAGGAGATTATTTATTCTTGGGCACATTAGGCAAAGAGAGACCTATACCTAGCTCAAAGTATGGTCCATGACCATCACCAGTCTAAATACTATTTGTCTTTGTTACATGATAACGTAGAATACAAAAGTTGGAAGTGTTTAGAAACTTTTACAGCAATTCTGACAGAATGATTTTATGTCTGTTGAATCTACTATTAAAAAGTTAGGTGGCATTTTACATCTTTGATTTTTTTTATTTCATCTTTATAGTAATTTTTATTGCATTTTACAAAAATATTAGTCCATAAAAGATTAGAAATTTAAAATAACTTGTCCTTTTTCTTCATATAGTTTGAGAAACACACTCTAGAGATGAGCTGTCCAATCTGACAGCCACTAGCCACATATAGCTAAGTTTAAATTAAATCAAATTAAATTAAAAATGCATTTCCTCAGTTGCACTAGCCACATTTCAAATACTCAGTAGCCACGTGTCTAATGGTTACCATATTGAACAACACAGACACAGAACACTTTCGTCGTCATAGAAAGTTCTATTGAATAGTACTGTTTTAGAGACTTTTATTCATCCCCTATTATGTTCTATCTTCTAAAATTTATGTAAGGTAAGCATCTAAAGGCACTTTTCAGCCTCCTTTCTTGGTTTAGTGCTTAGTCTCTAACGACCAATGAAACATTCCTTGTGGGTATGAGTTTTCCTGTCTCAATGTTGTTTTCCTATCTCTTAGCTTAAAATCTTGGCAATGGTATTCAATAAGTGTGCTGAATTTCACTGAAGTTACAAATTCTATAAGAATTTTTCTTTTAAGAGCCCCATCTTTTTATTTAAGTAAAATAAAATATTTAAGTATTTAAAAATATTTACCTTTATGCCCTGGACAGTGTGGCTCAGTTGCTTGGAATGTCGTCATGTGCACTGAACCGTTGTGGGGTTGATTCTCCATCGGCACATACCTGGGTTGAGGATTTGATCCCTGATCAGGACAAATCCTCAATCAAATGGAAGGCGACCAATCAGTGTTCTCTCTGCATCACTATTTCCTACCCTTCTCTCTCTCTCTCCTTCCCCTTTCTTTTTTTTTTTTTTTTTTTTTTTTTTTTTTTTTTTTTTTTTTTTTAAATATATTTTATTGATTTTTGTACAGAGAGGAAGGGAGAGAGATAGTTAGAAACATCGATGAGAGAGAGTCATCGATCAGCTGCCTCTTGCACACCCCCTACTGGGGATATGCCCGCAACCAAGGTACATGCCCTTGACCGGAATCGAACCCGGGGCCCTTCAGTCCCCAAGCCGACGCTCTATCCATTGAGCCAAACCGGTCCCGGCATCTCCTTCCCCTTTCTATAAAAATCAATAGGCATATCCTTGGGTAAGGATTAAAAATAAAATAAAAATGAAAAATATATAACTTCTATCCTCTTTATCTTTTGAAGGATGGAATAGAAATATATATCCAATATTTGCTAGAAAATAGTTTATCAGGTTGATTCTCATAGGACAATGAAATTATTCTATACTGCTAGGTATTATCTTTATAAGTACTGTATATTTTATTTCACCTGTTATAAATTTCTTTAATGATACACTCATTTCTTTTATTTCATTTCTCCTACTATATATATATACCCTAGAGCCTTACACTTGGTAGGTGGTTAATATTTTTAGGTTATTCACTTTTATAACAGAAATGTAAAATAACCATAAGGAAAGCTTTTCCCTTATGAGATGGTCTCATAGAAAGTGTGTGCATTCTTAAGCTGTATAATCTATCATACATAAATCACAAAAATATCAAATGCTTAAGAAATTCATATTTATAGCTTGTATTTTTTTTTCACAATGTTTGATACTATCGTAAGTCCCAAAATGACTAAAAAGAATTAATCAACCTGGAATAACTCAACTTACAAAATATTTTCAAAAGGTATTTTGTCCTATATTCATAATATCTGGTTTTAGTTTCTTCAAAACTGAATTAAGTCCATGCATAAATTAAGAATCTTTATGTCACAAAGATTTATATAAATGTGTTCAGAAATGGAAATAATCTTTTTTTTAATGTGCAATATTTTTATTGAGTTTTTTTCCTACAAATTATTACCACGGGCCTACTATTTATAATTTAGGCTTCTAGTTATAAATCATAAAGTTCGCACCTGGCTTAGAGTATATTTATATGAATATCAGCATAATGTTAACCAACTAACATGAGTCAAAAGAAAATCCCCCAGTAAATTCCCCTGCTCACCACTCCAATTAACTGTTGCTATACAATCTAGGGTTATTTGTTTTCCTGCACAAATTAAATAAATGAAACAGAGCCTTAAGCAGAACTGGTGTCTCACTGACCTATAAAGTCTGAACTATACATATGATTATTTATACATATTATTACATATTGAATAAAATAAGTAAAGGAGGTATTCTAGGCAAGGGTGGTTGGTTATCCCTAAAACACTGACTATGCAAACTCAGCATAATCTTCTTAGCCTATAGGGAGATGTGGAAAGTATGCAAGAAAACATGTGGAAAATATGTAGAATATAAGCATGAGAAAAAGTTTCAGTTGGGAATTATGACACATGATACTTACACACAAATTTCATTTAACCAGCAAACTGTAATCTCTATAAATGTAACCTCTACCTATAAAAGGGTATAGAATGACACTTGCCAAGGTATTGTATTTCTATGAACTTAGAACCTACTTTTGACATTTTGTTATAATATGTAACAAGAAATGTTTAGCTTGGACATGGGGAAGAGGTTTCTAAAAGTAAAAGTAATATCATATCAAAGCCAAGTCTTAGATAAACTCCACCAAATCATAGAGCTTAAAGAATAATTTTTTCTTTTGGAATAAGATTTGTCACGCTCTATCTTTAGCATGTGTTAAAAATACTCATTAACTATGAATCATGACCCATCAGTATGTAGTGAAATCAATTTATTTGGTCAATACCATCATTTTTGAAGTGTATTATAACAAAATCATAAGCAGGGAGAAACCAAGATGGTGGCATAGGTAACCACCTACACAATAATTTCAAAACTACAACTAAAAGACATAACAGACATCATCCAGAACCACAGCAAAGCTGGCAAAGTGGAAATTCTACTACCGTAGAAGGAAAGAGAAAAGCACACAGAGACTCAAAGGAGCTGCAAAAGTCAGAGGTAGGGAGACAAGCACGGAAAGGACTGGCTGCTGAATGCGTGGCTGCCTTTCTCAAGCAGGAGGGAGACAGAAGCTCCCAACTGCACTGAACTTTAGTTCTAGGCGACACCCTGGAGACCCAGACTCATACAAGGGGAATCTGGACTGTCAGGAAAAGAGAAAAGCTCACTCAAAGGAGCTGCGGAAGGCAGAGATCCAGAGGTGCACACACATAGAGGACTGACTGCTGAGTGAGCAGCTGGCTTTCTCAAGCAGGAGGGAGACAGAAGCTTCTCACTGCACTGAACTCCAGTTCCGGGTAAGATTTGGGGAATCCGGACTCATTTGGGGAGAAACTGGACTGTCTGGCAGCAGGCAAAACTAGAGGACAGCTTTCCCTCAGAGGTGCTTGCAGCAATTACCAAGGGACACTGAAACCCAGGGGCATTATAGAGCAGGGCTGATGGAAAGCCAAGACTGTCTGCTCAGCCCTGGGACTCTGCCCCATCCAAGCTGAGCACAGAGGCTTTTGCAATTTTGCTAGTCTTGTCTCTCTAGCACAGAAGGTCTCCCAGTGTAGACACAGCTGATCCTCACAGCCAATTGGTCTGGAGGTCAATTACTCCCAGTGATACCAACAATAATCAAGACTTAACTACAACAAGGCTGTGCACACAGTCCACAAAGGGTTGCACCAAGAGTATCCACCTCAGGTAACTGGGAATCTGACCCACTGAGCCTTATAGGTCACCTAGCACACAAAGCTACTCTACCAACTCTGGGAAGCAGCAAAAATGCCGAGACAAGGAAATAGATCTCAAACAAAAGACTGGGTATAGAGTTCAAAACCATGGATATAAAGATTTTCAAGAATTCCCTAGAAAAGGTCGATAAATTTAATGAGACCCAACTGGAAATTAAACATAAACTGAGTTAAATAAAAAATATTATACAGAGATGCAACAGCAGACTGGAAGAACAAAAGAATCAAGTGAAAGATTTGGAATACAAAGAGCCAAAGGACACTCTTCTGGAGAAGCAAGAAGAAAAGAGAATCCAAAAAGTTGAGGATAATGTAAGGAGCATCTAGGACAACTTCAAGCGTACCAACATCAGAATTATGGGGATGCCAGAAGAAGAGAGAGTGCAAGATACTAAAAACCTATTTGAAGAAATAATGTCAGAAGACTTCCCCCACCTGGTGAAAGAAATAGACTTACAAGTACAGGAAATGCACAGAACCCCAAACAAGAGGAATCCAAAGAGGACCACACCAAGACACATCATAATTAAAATGCCAAGGGGAAAAGATAAAGAGAGAATCTTACAAGCAGCAAGAGAAAAGCAATTGGTTACCTATAAGGGAGCACCCATATGTAACCAATTCCACATCAGCTGATTTTTCAACAGAAACTATACAGGCCAGAAGGGAGTGGCAAGAAATATTCAAAGTGATGAATGATGAGAACCTACAACCAAGATTACTTTATCCAGCAAAGTTATCATTGGAAAGAAGGGCAGATAAAGAGCTTCACAGATAAGAAAAAGCTAAATGAGTTCACCACCACCAAACCATTATTATATGAAGGGCTGAAAAGTATTTTTTAAGAAGAGGAAAAAGAAGAAAAAAGATAAAAATTATGATCAACAAATACATATCTATCAACAAGTGAATCTAAAAATCAAGTGAATTAAAAATCTGAGGAACAGAATAAACTGGTGAATATAATAGAATCAGGGGCAAAGAAAGGGAGTGAATTGATAAAATTATCAGGGGGAAAGGGGTATGGGGTGCAGGAAGAGACTTGATTAAAATCATACACCTATGGATGAGGACAATGGCGGGGGGGGAGGAGGTAAAGGAGAAGGGGGGGAATTGGGTGGAAAGGAGCTATGGAAGGAAAAAGAGAAACAACTGTAATAATCTGAGCAATAAAGATTTATTTTTAAAATAATAATAAAAACATCAATGGCAACAAAAAAATTAATTAAAAAATAAGGAGAGAGGGGTAACCCAGTATGACTAGGAAAAGGACATAAGTCTAAAGTTTCAACAAGTAGAATGAGAATCTAACCTAATTCTCCCTCACAATTCTTCAGAGATAGGAGGATACAAGAATGACCTGGCCACAGGATAAGCCCAGAGAGACTGATTCTTAGCTCAGGAACCCTGGCCTCAGGAAAGATTTCCTTGTTCATGTATAGCATGGGCTTAGCAGAGGCAGCTGCCTTCAAGGAACAATTTGGGTTGATCACTAGTAAGGAGTGTAGACTAAAAGACCCAGAGAGGCCCTCTTATATATCCTGCTACCACTTAGTGAGAGATGGGAGGAGCACCGGCTCCAATCTATTAACTGATCCTGATTTCACTATGCAGGGGAATTGTAGTCTGATTTAAATTTTATTTGAAGATATATAAATGTTACATTTCTTCATACTCCATCGCACCTATGCATCTATGCTTTGTCATGGTATAGATAATAAGGGTTTAACGAAAAGAAACCCTTTTAAATTAGTAAATGAAAGAAACATAAAATTGTATATTTATATCTGCATCTGAATTATAATTTTATTAAATTCCAGTGAACCAAAATTTGAGCAGCTTTGTGGACTATATTTAAACAAAAACAAGTTTCACAATGCATGATATAGTCCCACTGGTGTTTATGATGTATTGAGCGCCTGAGTTTTACCACTCTGCATCACCAATAGCTTTTGCAAATACATAGTCTCTCCCTCCAAAACACATAACACCATCTTTCAAATAGAATTTCCATTTGTTCTTGCTTCGATGAATCTGTTGAAAGAAAAATAGTCTAAATTAATTAAAGTCAAAGTATTATTTATATTTCTTTGCATATCACGTGTGATTATTCTGACCCTATATGGGCATTTTTAAAAACTAAAACTTCCTGCCTGGACAGCGTGGCTCAGTGGTTGAGCATCAACCTATGAACCAGGAGGCCAGGGTTCAATTCCCAGTCAGGTATATGCCTGGGTTGTGGGCTCAATCCCCAATAAAGGACATGCAGGAGGCAGCCAATCAATGATTCTCTCTAATCACTGATGTTTCTATCTCTCTCCTCTCCTTTCCTCTCTAAAATAAAAAAATATATATTTTTAAATAATAAAAACAAATAAATAAAACTTCCTCAAGATAGTTCACTCATTCAGAAAATATTTGAGGTTTCGGGTTTTAGGCACTGGATATATCAGTTTTTAAAAAGAAATATATACACAAATGTTAATAAACAAAAAGCAATGCTATCTTTGAAGAGTTTACATTTTAGTAAGGACTGGAGAAACAAAATACATAAATTATATGGAATATTAAAAGGTGATAATTGCTATGAAAAACAGAGCAAGAAATGGAAGACCACAAATACAGAGGTGGAATTATAATTTTAAATAGGAGAGTCAAGGTGGGCCTGGCTTATGAAGTAACACTTGAACAAATACATGAAGAAACTGAGGGATAAAGCTAGAAGATATTGACTGGAGAGCATTCCAAGCAAAGGGAAAAGATTGCAAAAGTCCTGAGGAGGGGCATGCCTGGATGGTTCAAGAACTGCAAAGAATACAGGATGTCTGCAAAGAAATAAAGGATGTAGCAAATAAAATCAGAAATTTTTTAAATTGGTGTTTCATTTTGAAGAAAAAAGTCACAATAAAGCACTGAGCAAAGTCAGAAGATATATCTTATAATCTATTAGATTGTATCCACTGTTCTTTGAATTCAGTAAGTCAGCCTAGATACTGACAAAATAAAAACTAGGAAATTCTACTATCTCAATAAGAAATAAATTATAAAATCACTGTAACCTCTGGTTACATATATATTTTTTAAATCACTACATATATATTTTTTAAAAACTTAGAAGTGAATAATCTAAAATCAAGAATTAAAAATTAAACCTAGTTGACTGCAAATAGTCAAATAAAGAAAGAAAAGTCTATGACTACTATTCAGATGGATTTTGTGGAAGCATAAGAAAACACAAAAAAGAAACCCCCTGTTGTGTGAAAAAAAGTCCTAATAACGGAACTTTCTTCTCAGAATTTGACTCCTAAATTTCCCCTTGCATATATCTTAAAAAGTCTCAACACAACAGTGACAACAGAATCCTGATCTCAGCAATGGTGATAAAATCTGGCCAGAATTAGGGAAATAATAGTAGTAACAACTCATTCAAGTAACTTTATCAAGTAACTATATTCATTCTAGAAATGCAGCAAAGGTTCATTATTAGGAATTTATTAATATAAAAATAATATTGCTAGGCCTAATGGGACAAATCATATAATCATTTCCAATGATACTGAAAAAGCACTTGATAAAACTAATGCATTTTTAAATTTTATAACTCAAAATAATAATCAAAGATTATGCCCTACACACATACACAGCCTAAAAGTAGTTCAGTTAATGCCTACATATGATGTTAATACCTTCAGAAAATTTGACATATAAAGTTTTGAAGCTTGTTGTATATAAAAAGAGCATATATATATATATATATCAACACATGTGGAACTCCATCTATTGAAAACAATCTGCATTATTAATCGGTACACCTGGTATGACAACACCTTCAGAAAATTTGATATATGTTGTCAATATAATGAAAGAGCATACATTTCAAATCGCATATATATCAACATATGGGTAACTCCATCTATTGAAAAAAAATCCACATTACTAACCAGTGCACCTAGTATTGGGGGGTGCGGGGGGGATCTAAAAGTATTTCCACAAACGTCAGGTTATAAACAAGGATACCAACTATTATCTACCCACTATTATCCAACTTTTCATTCTAGAGATACTAGCCAATACAATTAGACAAAAGAAAAGTATAATTTTAACTAGCCATTACAATTTGACCATATGTATGTATAGAAAACCTACTAAATAAGAATTCAGTATTGATACCAAATTAATATACAGAAATTCATAACCTTTATGTATACACATAACAAAAGACATAAAGAAAAAGCCCATTTACTCCAACAACAAGAGATGGTAGCTAGGATTAGGATTAAATTTTAAAAACACTTGATCTACTGGCACCATTAAGCATACTCTCCTCTTTGAAATATATTCCTCCCTTTGCTTCTAGAACACTGCTGGTTTTCCACCTAACTCTCTGGCCACTTCTTAGTTTTCTTTACTGATTCCTCTTCTTCTCTCTTACCTCTGTTTTAGAGTGGGTCAGGACTCTCTTTCTGTTTATACTCACTCTCTTGGTGATCATAACTATTATCATGGCTTTAAACACCATCTATGTGCTAATGACTCCCAAAATTTGTATCTCCAATTCACACTGCTCCCCTAACTCAATTCTCATTTAATTGCTTCAGCATATCTTCCTGAATGTCTCTGGTCCCCCGTCTGCCAGCAACCCTGCTCCTGCTACCACTGTTCCCACGCACTGATGGCACCAGCCCCATTTGCACCCACTGATGGCATGGAGTGATTGAGGGTAGTGCCAGCCATGGGTGAAAGCAGGGCCATTGCTAGCAACGGGTTCAAGAAGTGGCTGCTGCCCTGGTAGTCCCGCTGCTAGCAATGGCCCTGCTTGCACCCATAGCTGGCACTACCCTCAATCACTCCATGCCATCAGTGGGTGCAAATGGGGCTGGTGCCATCAGTGCGTGGGAACAGTGGTAGCAGGAGCAGGGCTGCTGGTAGACAGGGGACCAGAGACTGCGGCACAAGGGTCCAGGCAAGGGTGCAGAGGATGGACTGAGATCCACCCCTGTGCCCACCACAGCCTCAAGGACCAGAAAGCCCAATGCATAAAATTCATGCAAGAGTAGGCCTTCCTCCCTCCAGCTGCTGGCACTGGCTTCCCTCCGGCACCTGGGACCTGGACTTCCCTCTGACCACTGGCAGGCACCCAAGACCCAAGCTGGAAGGTAGTCCAGATGACATCCAGTCTAATCAGCATATTATGCCTGCCTATATATACTCAGCACCTGCATCTGCAAATTAACCTGCCATCTCTGTTAGGTTAATTTGCATACTCAATCCTGATTGGCTGGTGGGCACTGCGAAGGTACAGTCAATCTGCATTTGAAGTAAAATGAAGGTTACTGGTCAAGATGCTGTGTGAGAATTCCTTGACTTTTCAGAGGTTGTTTTTTAAAGAGTTTTACTAGTCAGTGTGTTTTTGAAGGCCAGTAGCATCAGTTCCCCTTGGGATAATTACCAATGCAGAATTTTGAGTCTTACCTCAGACTACTGGATCAGAATGTGCATTTAAACAAGATTTCACCAGGTCATTTGCATGCTCATTAAACTTTGAAAAGCACTTTTAAGAAAAGTCAATTCACTGGAGTCATTCAATACTATTTGAAACAAGACAACTAATGACGAAAACTGGGAAATTACTTACAAAAATTCACTGCCACATGGTCTTTCCCACTCTACTCTGACCTTAGAGATACATTCTCTTTGCAAGTTATATTTGACTTCAGCACTCTTCTTTAAAAATACTTTTCAATGGTTCCCCAATTCCCTGGTTTCCATTAAAAATTTTAGTACTTAAAATGTTAACTAATTAGAGAGTACCCTCAGACAACTATATTTGTTAACACTATAAATCTAATATCACTCCTTCTATTACCCCACAAGGTTATTATAAGAAACAAAAGGAAACGTCTGAGAAAATACTTTGAAAAATACAAAGCACTATGTAATTAATTACAAGCTATTTCCCACAATGCAGTACAACCAAGGTTACTCTCCCCATAATGGTCTAGAAATTCTTTGTGCCTCTATAGAATGCACATATAATTTGGTGTCTTATAATATTTGCTTCATAGAAGGCAATATACTATTTATAGAAAGGTAAACTAAGTTTGGTCCCTTTTCTGTTACCTATTCCTTCTTATGCTTTGCCAGAAGACAATTCCAGCATGTCAGTAGGACTGACTCATCTGGGACAGCTAAAAAGCACTTCCCCCAAACCTGAATAGTATTTTTTGCTGCCAGACTGCTCAGGGCATTTTAAATCTCCATGTTATTGCCTCCTGTTGCTATTCCCCAACCTGACAATGCTTCTGTAAACCCTATCCTTTGAAGTGTATGTCTCCACCTTGCCTTAGGACAAACTGTGTTAATAAATATCACAGGGTCCTTAGACAAAGTCTTTTAGCTCCTTTACCTGAAGTTCCTTTGACCCCCAATGCCTTTCAAAACTATCTTTCATCTTTGGACTCCTTATTAATTCTACACATCAGCTCCTTTCTCCAGATTGCTGCACCCCTTTGTAATGCTATAACAAGAACCCCAGCAATGCTTTTGTTTACCAGCATCTAAATTGCCATTTTCCATCTGTATGAAATGTTATAAGTGAGAATACAAACTTATTTTAAGGGGGAAAAATGATTTATTTTTACAGCATTCTAAATACCATCCTCTATTTCACCCAAGTATATTGAAATTGTTAACAAAAAAAGTCAAAGATGTAAACATGCATTAGTCATCAGGGAAATACAAATCAAAATTTCAACGAGGTACCACTTCATCCCCACCAGGATGGATAGATCAAAATGTCAAATAACAAGTGTTAGTGTGAATATGGAGCAATCTAAACCATCATACACTGTGGTGGAAATAAAAACTGGTACAGCCACTTTAGAAAACAATATGGTAGTTCCTCAAACTATCACCACATGATCTGGGAATTCCACTCCTAGAAAGAAATGGAATTATATATTCACACAAAAACTTGTACACAAATGTTTATAGCAGCATTATTCTTGCATCAGCTGAAAATGCAAAGTGTGGTATAGCCATACAGCAGACTAGTATTACGCAATAAAAAGGAATGAAGAACTGTTACATGCTACACCACATGTGTCAAACACAAGGCCCGAGGGCCAAATCCGTCCCGCCAGGCCTTGCAATGTGGCCCGCACCGCGCTGTCATCACTGCACTCCGCTGCGTTTCCATCACAATGACAGTTTATGACTGTTCAGTAAACCATTCGGCCCGCGATTTAGGCTGGATTTTAGATTTTGGCCCCTTCTCTGATTGAGTTCGACACCCCTATGCTACACCATGAATGAAACTTTAAACGCTGTGTAAAATAAAGAAGCCAGTCACAATAGACCACATATGAAACTCCAAAATAGAGAAATCTTAAGAGACAGAAAGTAGATTAATGGTTCCTTGGGTATGGTAGTGGGGCTGGGAGGGAATTATGAGATATATGCAGTGTCCCCAAAAAATATATATACACATCTTGAATACAATTCATTTTCAAAATATAATAGAATCTGTAGACATTGTGTGCATATATTTTTTAATAGCCTGTAGGAGTGAGAACTAATGGGCATGAGGTTTCTTTTCAAGGTGATGAAAATGTTCTAAATTGATTGTGTTAAGGATTGCACATATCCATGAATGTACTAAATACCTGTACATTTTTAGGTAAATTGTGTAGTTTGTGAATTATATCTCAAAGCTTCTAAAAATTAAATGTAAATATGCACAAGTTAAGGACAAAAACTGATCATTCTACTTCATAATTACAGGAATAATGTTTCTTTAAAAATAAAAAAGAACATTATGTTTAGTTACTAAAGTTAAATTACTACTAACTTAATTTCTAGGCTTAAAATTTGAGAGACACCTTCAACTCTCCCTAATGATAATTCTCTAAAATCCAGCTAATCACCAAGGCCCATTGATTCTTCCATATAATCACTGATTCTTCCATGTTCTACTGGCACCTTTAGTCTGGTTCTGATTACTTCATGTATGTACTATCTCTGTTCTTACTATTTTCCTATTTCAAATCATCAAACACTGACAGTTTTTAAATCCAATTACAATTTTTTCAGTAACATTCTCAGAATACCAATGTCCATCAAATCAAGTCTAGATTTCTCCTACCAGGACTTTGGATTTTCCAATCTGCTCACAACTTTGTTTCCACCCAGCCTCATTTCCTAACACATCCAAAAGAACACTTTAGTCAAGACAGCTATCCTTCACTGTCCCTTGTACATTCTATATGCATTCATGTCTCTGCCTTTTTATCAGGCTATTCTACTCTAAATGCCTACCACACTTACCTATCTTATATAATAAAAGCCTATTATGCTAAGTGTCCAGTCGTCCATTCAACCAATCAAAGTGTAATATGCTAATGATATGCTAAGGCTGCTCAACCACTCACTATGACATGTGCTGACCACCAGGGGATAGTCGACTGGTCAACTAGTCGCTGTGACGTGCACTGACCACCAAGGGGCAGATGCTCCAACTGGTAGGTTAGCTTGCTGCTTGGTCTGGCCGATCAGAACTGAACAAGACAGGCCGGACATGCTCTGGAGCCCTCCGGTGGTCCCTCCTCGGCTAGCCAACCTCCCACATCCCTCCCTGGCCTTGATCGTGCACAGATAAGGTCTCTCAGCCTGGCCTTCACCCTCTTGCAATTTGGGACCCCCTCAAGGGATGTCTGAGAGCCTGTTTCAGCCCAAGCCTGGCCAGGCCAAGGAACCCCACTGTGCATGAATTCGTGTTCCAGGTCTCTAGTATCCTATAAATCACTCAAAGCTTCAAATCACTCATGAAGGATTTGTAGAGAACTCCAACTACAAATGATTTCTTGTATCTCCTAGCCACTTTTAGGGCTTATTGTGTGTACAATATCTTAGCAATATGTATGTATATAACTTGGCAAATGTTTTACATGCCACTCATCTTAGCATTTGACTTACCTGTCACATATTTTAGCTTTTGATTTACCTACCATCCTATTTTATGCCATTCTATTATTCCATACACAAATATCTTGTCTCAATAAGATCTCTCCTTCTTTAGACAAAGACTACCACTTTTCTGTATCACTCTGACACCCCCTGCCCCGCAAATGTATACAATTAATGAGCTTTTTCAAGATTAATTTAACTGTGAACTATAATTCACCATCATATTCCCCATAATTTACATAACTTTCTACTATTAATGTAATTAATAAACCCAAAGTTTAAAAAATGAATACAATACCTTGTCATACTGACAGACAATTACATTATCCGTGTCAAACAGGTCTGGCACATCCTGCTCACTAACATCATCTCCAGAATTTAAGGGGTCCTGAAGATGAAAGATGAAAGATGATCACATTAAGGAATTTAATGATGCTTTGAATTTTTTAAAGGTAGGCATATGTGCATATATCTTGGAGAGTCAGAACAGTAGTGTACATAAAAGTCAAATAGCCTGAGATTGACTACTGATCTTCAGCAAGTTATTAAAACTCCTCATAGCTCAGTTTTCTCATCTGAAAAAATGAGGTTAATAATAAGACTCATAAGGCAGTGAAAATGTTAAATAATGTAAGGCAGATAAGATTTAATATGATACCTGGAACATATGTAAGAACACCATAAATGACAGTTATTACTACTTATATGCTTAATTGCCATGTTCCATAAAAATTTTGGTACATTTATTAGGATTAGAGTAGATACCATATGCCTCTATTCTGGCTGCCGTCTTTACCTATACTTCTCTCTCCTAAATTTCCCACAATCTCTAGTTAGCACCTTGTTGACAGGTTATTTCAAGCTAGAACTTGCCCATGCAGCTGGCTACTTTTCTTTTAGTAGTTTTGGCAACCCACGGTTCCCCTTATTGTTCCACAGACCAGTGTTTTGTTCTTCAATAGTAGTTCAGCTGTAGACATGCTGTTGTAGTAATTATGTTAGTATATATGATGCCAAGAAAAGGCTGTAAGATGGGTAATACAGTCTATTGTAACTTTTTGCCTTCTCCTGTATATATCTCAAAATTGCAAACACAGCCACTTTCACAAAGCATTCTTACTAAAATTCCATATTTTATTACTGGATTATATGTCTTGAATCTGATGGTGTCCTCTCTATGGAATCATTACTTCACCAAGTGATAACTGTTGTTTTGGTATATATAAAGATTTAAATTTCAAGGTAGTGATCCAAAGGTGGTCTGACTTTGTAAGGACGGTCTGAGTTACATTTGCTTGTGAATTACCATTAAGAATGTAAGTATTTGCTTGAATCTCTTTCTAGTCATAGTTTTTGGAAATATGGGTAATTCAAGTAAAGGATTGGTTAACTGGCAATCCTTCCATTCTAGCTTGTTAGTTTCATCAATATAATTAAATGAAAAAGTTTCTTTATATCCATATAAGTAACTCAGTCCATGTTGAAGTTTTAGCAGAGACTTTGTGGTATTTTTCTATTTAGTACTGGTATAAGTTGATTTGAAAAATAATGAGATCAAAAAAATCCTTACCAAGACATAAATTGGTTACTTCACTTATTCTTTGTGGGTCCTCAAGCTGAACAGTTATGCTTGAAATATTTTTATAACCCTCCAATGTTGGTAAAATACCTTTTTTGCCCATTCTTTGGAATCACTTTCACTATCAGATACTATCACATTTCTCTTTTGCCTTCTGATGGTCTAATGTCAGATTCATTACTATCTTCTAATAAAGTACTATCTTTCAACTGACTACCAAAGTCACTCGGACAATCAGACAAAGTGGCTGTACATAAATTTTCTCAAACATTCCTCTCTGCTGTGACATGTCTTTTTTTTAATTTTTGGCATAATAAAAAATGGATGGAAAAAATTAGATGTATTGCTTGTCATGTCTCTTGAAATACTGGCTGACGAGTTGAGAAAAAGCCACAAGTTAACTCGTGACCAGCATTCGGACATGGAAACACGATCAGCAAGATGTTAAGATTAACAACTATAATAGCTGATTTCTAAATACTTACTACTAGTGTAAATTACAAGTTTCAGGTTAAAAGTTTAAATACTAGCATACAAATAAGTCTCATTTTAACACTATAGACAGAGTTCATCTTAATTGTTATTCCTCTTGGTTCTAAAGTATATGAAAGTACAAATGTTACATATTGAATAAAGTTTCAGCTCAAAAGTAATACTTACTTCTTCCACAATGTCTATTGGAGGGTCTTCATTATCACTACTGTTATCAGTTGAATCTTCATTTGATGTATTATCAGCTTCTCCTTCAAGTGCCTTCAGGTCTCCTGCATCAATAATCTCTAGAACTTCATGCTCACCTACATCTCTTGTACTTCCTATGTCATCATTGGAAGATGTATCATCAGTTCCATCTATTTGAATTATTTCATAAATATCTTCATCAGTTACCTGAATGCTTAAACCCATCTGAGAATTATAATCCTAAAAAGAGAAAGAAATGCAATGAAGTTTTTAAAGTCAAACAGTCTAAAATTTTAAACAAAATATAAAATTACTTAAAACATCTCACAAGTGGTCACTTAAAATGTTTCTTTCTTGTAAGATGATATTCCCTGATTTTAAATAAAACATAGGAATAATTTTAAAAATATAAACCTTATAGTCACATATAAAGAGCAAATGAGTTGTCTGCTTTAAGATAACATTTGTTCGTGTTTATATACCTTACTTATATTTATACTAGAGGCCCGATGCACGAAGATTCATGCAAGAATGGGCCTTCCTTCCCCTATAATCCAAAATTATAGTTAGCAAGTTCAATACTCCTCTCTCAGTAATCAACAGAAAAAGTAGACTGAAATTCAGTGAGGATGTAGAAAACCTGAACAACACAATTAACTAAGATAACCAAGTTAACAATTATAAAAAAAAAAACTGCACCCCAAGATGCAGTTTACAGAATATTCACCAAGATGGACCATATTCTGACACATCAAATCTTGACAAATTTAATACATACAAAATATGTTCTCTGAGCACAAAGGAATTATTAAACCAGATACCAGTAACAAAAAAATCTCCAAAGATTTAAAAATTAAATAATACATTTCTCAATATCCATGAATCAAAGAGTAAGTCACACGAAAAATTAGAACAATTTAAATTAAATGCAAACAAAACATAAAATTTCAAAATTTGTGAAAAGTAGCTAAAGCAGTGAATAGAGGGAAATTTATATCATTTGATTACATATTAGAAAAGAAACAAGTTTGAAAGTATGGCCTAAAATTCACCTTAAGAAAGTATAAAAAAAAAAAAAAGACCAAATTAAGTTCACAGTAAACAAAGAACTATTATAAGATTTTTTAAAAAGAAAAGAAAAAAAGAAAAAAGAAATGAAATAGAAAGTAGAAAAAAAATTAGACTAAATGTTCATTCTTTGAAAGGATTAATAAAATCAATAATCTTCTAGCCAGAATGACAAAGAAAAAAAGAGAGAGGCCAGATAAACAATATTAGGAATTTTAAAAGGGGTAATGCCATAGATCCTGAAGACATTGAAAGATAGTAAGTTATCTGTTATTTTGGCTGCTATAACAACATGTCATAGACTAAGCAGCTTAATAACAATAAAAATTTACTTCTTATGGAGGCTGGAAAGTCCAAATTAAGGTACTAGAAGATTTGGTACCTGATGACAGCCCACTTTCCAGTTCATAAGGCAGTGTCGTCTCATGATGTCCTCACATGGCAGAGAGGCTAAGGAGCTCTGTGTGGTCTCTTTATCCTATCTAATAAAAGTAATATGCAAATTGACTGTCACTCCAACACACAAGATGGCTGCCCCCATGTGGACACAAGATGGCCGCCACAAGATGGCCAGCAGAGGAGGACAGTTGGGAGGGACCAGGCCTGCAAGGGATGGCAGTAGGGGGCAATCAAGCCTGCAGGGGAGGGCAGTTAGGGGTGACCAGGCTGGCAGAGAGGGGAAGCTGGGGGCAAATAGGCTGGCAGGGGAGTGGTTAGAGAGTGATCAGGCTGGCAGGCAGAAGCAGTTAGGGGCAATCAGGAAGGCAGGCAGGCGAACAGTTAGGGGCTACCAGTCCTGCATTGTGAGAGGGATCTCCGACTGCCCGTGTAGGCCCAATCCTACTGGGATCAGCCTCAACTGCCAGTTGGATATCCCTCGAGGGGTCCCAGATTGGAGAGGATGCAAGCTGGGCTGAGGGACACACCACCACCCCATGTGCACAAATTTCGTGCACCAGGCCCCTAGTATATACATATAATTTCAGAGAGAAAGGGAGGAGAGATAGAAATATGAATGATGAGAGAGGATCATTTACTCATGCCTCCTGGATGCCCCCTACTGGGGATATGACCCACAACTTGGGCATGTGCTCCTGACCAGAATCAAACCTGGGACCTTCAGTCTTCAAGCCGATGCTCTATCCACTGAGCAAAACCACCAGGGCTGTATGGTGTCTTTTAAAAAGTAACTAATCCCATTCATGAGGACTCCATGCTCATAACCTCCCAAAGGCTTCACCTTCTACTTACTAATATCTTTGGGAGTTAGGATTTCAACATGTGAATGGAGAAGGAAATAAACATTCAGACTGATATAAGTCAATTTACAAAACTTAATTTTATGTCTGTATAATAACAATAACAATTGGAAATTTAAATTTAAAGATGGGAGGAGCCGAAACCGGTTTGGCTCAGTGGATAGAGCATCGGATTGTGGACTGAAAGGTCCCAGGTTCGACTCCGGTCAGGGGCATGTACCTTGGTTGTGGGCACATCCCCAGTAAGGGGTGTGCAAGAGGCAGCCGATCGATGTTTCTCCCTCATCGATGCTTCTAACTCTTTATCCCTCTCTCTTCCTCTCTGTAAAAAAATCAATAAAATATTTTTAAAGATGGGAAGAGGGACAGGAAGAGATTAACTATAGAACTCATATGCACATATGCATAACCCATGGACACAGATAATAGGGCAGAGAAGGCCTGGGGATGGTGAAGGGAGACAATGGGGGGAAAAGGGGGTTATCTGTATTTCAACAATAAAGATAAACTACTTTAAAGGTATATAAATAAATAAATAACATGAGAAGAAAAATAATAAAACAAAATAATACTATTTAAAGCAGCAAGAGAAAAGCAACTCATCACATTCAAGAGATTTTCAATAAAATAACACTCATATTCATCAGATAAAACTCTCAATGCCAGAAGGCAATGGATGATAGATATGTTTAAAGTGCTGAAAGAAAAGACTGTCAACTGGGAATTCTATACCTGGCAAAACTATCCTGCAAAAATAATTGAGAAATTAAGGCATTCCCAGATAATGAAGGGAAAGGAGTAGATATGAAAGTAAGATTTCTGAAAAAGGTAATAAATGGGTCAGTAGGAATTAACCAGAGGATGGTGGGAAGAAAATACAAGCAGAGGATAACAAAAGCAAAAAGAGGAGCAGGAAACAAAGAGGTCAAAACAGAGATTCACTTAGTAAAGTAGTAGGCATAAATAAAGAGTAAATAACAAATTCTAGCTGAGAAAGAACATGGAAGTCCGTTCATGCCACATTAAGGAGCTTTGATAAGAAGCTGCACTATGGATAAATGTCTGGTAGCCATAAAGAACAGAAATTAATACCTAATAGTCACTGAGCACTTACCATGTGCTAAGCAGCATGCTACTGAGATATAATCAACTTTACATTGATTATATCTCATGTAATCCTTCCACCACTACAACTCTATGGTATATACTATTATCTTTATTTTACATGTGAGGAAACAGTAACTGATCCAAGTCACATAGCCATTGAGGGACAGAAGATGAATTCAAAGTAATTCTTATCTCTGAAGCCTAATGCTTTAACCTCTAGGATAGATGGACTTGGAAGAATAGAGTGAGAAACAGCAAAGACTGTAGGCTAATAAATTAGGAAACTACTATGTTAACCCAAATAAGAAGCAATTAGGGCAATGGTAGTAAGTATGAAAAGGGAACAGATTCCAAAAATATTTAGTTTTTAAAGTTATCAAAATGTTAAAATTTTTACATGATTACACCTTAAAAATGAATTAAATTCTGACATAGGCTGCAACATGGAAGAACCTTAAAATATTATGGTAAGTAGCTCAGCCAGTGTTGCTCAGTAATTGAGCACCAACCTATGAACCAAAAAGTCGCAGTTTGATTCCTGGTGAGAATGGTTTGGGAAGGGAATGCAAGAGATAAAAAGAAATTAAAGAAGATACACTCCCATTTCTCTCCTAATCCTACTTTTTGGAGTTCTAATAAAGACCTAAGTTTGATGGTATTATAGCTCCATAGTTCTCCATAGCATTATAAGATTAGAAAACAAGTCCTACACTGAGGAAAAAAACATAGTAATAACGTAGATTTTAAAATAGAAGCTCATCAAAAATTGTTGGGAATATATGTATGAAACAGTATGAATGTTAAATTTACATAGAAACTTAAGATCTCTGGCAGTCTACACAAGAAAGTAAACAATTATAGATAATTTTATCTTCCAATAATAATTTCTAAAAAGCTACTTATATAAAAAAGAAAAGCTATTCATACATTTTTTGAAAATTATATTAGCATAAACTTCACCAGATTAAAAACTATTTTAAAGATAGCCAACAATAAATTTTAAAAATTGATAAAGTAAATATTTTGAATGTTTGGACTGTGTTTTTTTAATATATTTTATTGTTTTGTGTTTTGTTTTGTTTTTTACATCGATGAGAGAGAAACATCGATCAGCTGCCTCTTGTATACCCCCCTACTGAGGATGTGCCCACAATCAAGGTACATGCCCTTGACTGAAATCGAACCTGGGACCCTTCTGTCTGCAGGCCAATGCTCTATCCACTGAGCCAAACCGGTTACGGAGTTCACTATTCTTTCTGAAGTGTTTAATAGTGGATCAGTAACATGCATTTTTATTTAATAAATTTTTATTGTTCATATTATTACAAATGTTCCTTCCTTCCCCCGCCCCATTGCTCTCCTCCACCAGGTTCCCACCCCACCCTCTGCCCTTTCCCCACCCCCATTGTCCTCATCCATAGGAGCACAGTTTATGTTCATTCTCTTCCCACAACCCCCTCTCCCCTTTTCCCCAAGAATCGTCAGTTCACTCCCCTTCCATACCTCTGATTCTATTATATTCAAGTTAATATTGTTCATCAGATTTTTTTTTTAATTTCCTTGGTTTTTAGATTCACTTGTTGATAGTTACATATTTGTTGTTCATAATTTTTATCTTTATTTACTTTCTCTTCCGAAAGAACCCCCTTCAACAATTCATATAATTCTGATTTGGTGGTGATGAACTCCTTTAGCTTTTTTTTATTAGTGAAGCTCTTTATCTGACCTTCGATTCTGAGTGATAGCTTTGCTGGATAGATTATCTTTGGCTGTAGGTTCTTACTATTCATCACCTTGAATATTTCT